TTTTTTTTTTTTTTTTTTTTTTTTTTTTTTTTTTTTTTTCGCTTTTCCCTTTCCAATGTGCAAAAAATGAGAAATCCAAATGGTACAAGTTTTTTTCGCAGGCGGATGATAATATAGTGTCATAATATTCAACCGATGCGAAACGAAAAACATGATTAACATTATCCTAACCTATTTGGCAGCTATCACCATCTTTTGTAGTGTGCATGATGCAAAAATATGTTATGATGTACACAGAAGAAATACCAAGAGTAACGTACTTTTTATTGAAAAAAATGCTTACCACAAAGTTAAGTATCGTCTCAAAGCGAAGGAATTTGTGAATTTCAGGGAAATACAACTACAGAGGATAAAAGATTATAGAAAGCGCAGTGGGCCAGACAAAAATAATATTAACTACAACGTGAAGGATGCATATAATTATCATGATAATTTGTACGTTTGCTCCTTTTTTTTTTTTTTTTTTTTTTTCACCCAATTTTCCCCTTTGCTATATTATTATGTACAATGACTGTCTTTGAGTAATTTACCCACATCCTTCGCGTGGAATTTAATATATGTAATTTTTTATACATGTGCGTAACTCCTTTGTTCCTTTTTTTAAAAGCCTCTTCGTCAGGAATGAAGTGTTCCCAACGTTAGCCAAAATAGAAAATGAGAAATTGAAGCAGAGGGAGAAATATCAAAAACTGTTTCAAAACGTCAATGACTATAATACGAGTTTTAGTAGACGGGTAGGTTGCCCCCTTTGCAAAAAAAAAAGGACATTTCTCCTATGGAAGGATACATACATCGTTACGTATATTCATTGCCGGCTTATCTCTACAAAGCATTTTTCCCTTTCGAGCGAAATTACTTCAGTGTGTATCAGTCACACGCTTTTGCATTCATCCTCCCCTCCGCCGCCCCCTTTTTTTCTGACCGTTCAGACCTTTATGCAATTCCTGATCGACTTGTACAACATCTTCCTAAAAATTGACGAGTTATTTTTGATTTACAAAGAAGACTTTTCCCTTCTTACGTACACGGGGCCCATGCTACTGACGAACCACCTCTACGACGATATTGTGTATCTGACGTCGGTGGTTGAGGTGAGGTTTCTTGAAGCGCCTACATGGTGTACAAGCGTTTGTGTGCGTTCTTCGCCCTTTTTCCCACTTTTACCATCTATTCTTTTTCCCCGTGTGGCAAATTACACTTATGTAATTCGTATACTTTTTACCGATCTGTAGAACTGCGACGACATCACGCTCAGCCCATACGGCAGGGAGTACGTCTCACACCTGGAGGAGTTATCCCAAAAAAACAAAATAAGTAATCATAAAAAAAAATGGTTTAAAAAATGTGCAATGCGGTAGAAGAAAAAAAAAAAAAAAAAAGACACTTCGCATAAATAATTGAGGTGGGGTCACAATCCCATGTTACTGCTTTGCTTTTTTTTTTTATGAGTGAATACATGAGGTTGTGTAAAGAACGCACATTAATGGACAAGTGATAATCTATATTGAGGACACGTCGCCGAAACGAATTTGTATCGAATCGATCAGCACATCACACCCCCTTTGCACATTTTCCCCTCACAGAATTTTTAGCGCATGCATACTTATTCTACAAAAGCTTCCATTTGAACAAGGAGCATTTGTTAAATAGCATTTGCAAATATTTAAATATTATAAAAAAATTGAAATCGTCCAAGTACGTTCCAGATGTTTCGAATTTCGAGGTGAGTAGTTGCGAGATGATCTATGACGTTCGCTGCATCATTTGTCTTCTCCACGTGGAGGCTATGAGTGGACGCACGTGGCGTGTGTGCGTTGCGCGAACTACAGCTAAGGCAACAGAGAATGACCAAATAATTTCACAAAACAATGCAGCTGATTGGGTGTACCATCAGGATGCGAAAATGTTGCTTGCATTTTTTTGTGTGTTTCCATTTTGTTCTATTGCATAGTGTAAGCGAGCTATCCCTACACACATATTTACCGTGTGCATTTTTTTTTTTTTCTCTCCGTTTAGTTTTGCCTGAACAAGATGAGCAGAAAGTGGAGCAGATGGGACAAGGACAATTTTCTGTCCAGTCTGCATGACGCGACAGATAAAATGATGATATTGACGAAGCATTTTCAACAAACGAAAGAGTAACACAAATGAAAACATTTAGGGTTTGATCAATTCTTCAGAGTTCATATTTTTTATAGTCTCTTCGCTATGTAATTTTTGTCATTTTAATTGGACATTCTTTTTTAAAGCGTTTGTCCCTTTAACTCCTCAGTGAGTTCATTTTTTTTTTTTTTTTTTTTGTTTGTAGTTCTTTTTTGTGAGCATATTATTCATATACTGTGATGTATGCCAAACTTTTTACTTTTTAACCCCAAATTAAAACGAGAAAAACGAAACAGTTTTTTTTTTTTTTTTTTTTTTTTTTTTTTATTTCACTCGAAAGTTTGCAACATGTGGAGGCAAACCGTTTTTCGGACGCTCTTTTAATCTTCACACCGTAAATGCTATATAGCGGTTTTGTGTCCCACAGAAAAATAAACATGCGGTGTTTAAAAAGTGTTTGGTTTGGACGTGGAGAGGAAAAAAGAAAATAATGAGCCGAAATGGGGCGCTTTTTAACAGTTAATTAATTATCAGTGGGGATGAGCGATCTCTGCAAAAAGTTGCTTCATTTGTCTTTTTCCTCCCATGTGTATAAATACCCAAAGGGGTTATTTCATTTTGAGTGAGAATTTATGCGCGGGGTTATCCTCACCCGTGTTATTACAATGGTGCATTGGTGTGAAGTGGTTTTACTAATGCGCAGTCAGACCACGTATTAACCGCTGCGTAATGGACACACTTAACGCGACGTTTATACCAATTGCTTAAAAGGCATTTGGGCATAATGTCAGGGCAGGGGGGAGGAACCAAACATTAAGTACGTATAACGCAGACAACTGCTACTGGCATGGATTCTTATTTTTACCCCAACATGGAGCAATTAAGAATTGGAAAACTCTAATATGCATATTATAAAAATTGTTTATGTTAAGTTTAAAATGGTCTAGTAGTTTAAAATGGACGAGATTAAATTTTATTGGGGGAACATGAACTTACAATAAATTATGTGCAACTTTAATTTAAATGTTAAAAATTAAAACAATACAAGAAAAGGGATTGCAAAATGGAGCATACGTTTGTGCGCACGCTTTTACATATCGTCGAAAGTGACCAGTGACTTTCTGTCATTTGAGCATATGGTGTTATTGGGGTGGTGATAGTGAAGATGTATTTGTAAATGCGTGTCGTAATGGTGCGTGTGTTACGTTTTGTTCAGCTGTGATTCGCTTCGTGTTTGTCTGTTTTTTTTTTTTTTTTTTTTTTATTTTGCCTTTTTTGCTTTTTTTTGTACGTTTTCGTTTTGTGCTTTTTTTGTAACTTTTCGTTTTTTGTTTTTTTTTTTTTTTTTTAGGTTTATTATTTTTTTTTTTTATATTTTTTTGTTTATTTTTTTTTTTTTTCATTTTTGCTTCGCTTCTTTCGCGGAACTGCCCGTCGCGCTTGCAATCGACCAATACACATGTATACGTTGAATTGTCAAATTGTTCAATTGCGCGCACAATACAATTTAAACTTCACAAAAAGCACACAAATATACGTGGTATATATGGGTACCGCTCGAATACACCAATATGTACTTGCCTGTACATACACATACGCTAGGCGGGGGGGAGTTGAAACTTTTATTATTATTTTATGTGCCCTATTGTCGACCGGACGCACTATTTATAAACACATATACTTGCGCATATGCGTGTCGAATGAGAAGGGAACTTGTAACTGTATCAGAGGGGAGGGGAAGTAATGAAAAGGTTAATTCTGCCGTGCTTCTCTCGTCGCCTATTGCTTGTCGGTCGTCGCGACCTCAGCTGCCTGCTCCTGCTCGTCTTGCTTCTTCACGTTGGCCTCGTTGATGGCCTTCTTGGTCTTCCTCGATTGAATATTACTGACGTCATGGAGGCTGGGGAAGGCCTTTTCGTCATTGGTATTTATGTATACACCGTTTTTGGCCGAATCAGGTCGGTAAGAAGATTTGTTGCCTGACCTGGTGTTGTTGTTGCTGGTGCTATTGTATGTGGTCCTCCTATTTGGTGTGAGGGAATGACTGAAGTTTTTATAACGGTCATTTTGGTAGGTATTATTATATTGTCCATTTTCTTCTTTGCTTCTATTAAGAATTCTTAAAATTTCCTTTTGTGCCGCATCAACCGTTTGTGGTGTGCCTTGAATTAAGACCTTCTTACTATCCTTATCGATATGTATTTTTTTGGCAAATGTTTCCTCCTGTATCTTATTTATAGTTCTCCCCTTCTTGCCAATAATGCTTCCAATATATTCTGTATCTACCACCATTTCCACCGTGATGTAATTATTATTTGTATTAAATTTTTCTTCTTTATCATCTGCTGATTGTAATAACAAGTTTTGTAAAACATCTTTGGCCTGGGCAATATTTTCCTCATGTCCATATATTTGTGCCACGTGATTATTTTTATTTATTTGAATACTTGTCGAGGTGTCTTTTTCAATTTCTTTAATTTTTTGTGCCTTGGAGGACAAGAGCATGGCAATTACCTTTTCGGTAATTTCAACAGGTACACATTTTCTCTTTTCTAGCAACTCATCAATCAGTTTCAAAGCATTATCTATATCATTTTTATTTCCACTAATATTTAATTCTTTATAATTCGTTTTGTTAAATATTTTTACTTCGGCGCCAGTTTGTGTTTTAATATAATTTCTGTAGTTGGCGTTGAACAGGTAGGCTTCTTCTTCAGTTACTTTTTTCTTCACTGATTTGGAGGATATAACATTTTTCACGTAATCCAATATTTCTAATCCCTTTTGAATATTTTCTCCTTTTCCGACCAGACTAATACCATTATCGTGACGTACAACAAAAAGGTTCAAATTAATTTTTATGTCATTTAATTCGTAAGCACATTTTTTGTACAGGTTAAACATTTCTCTTTCATCGAGTTCTACAAATTTTGATTCTAAGCCTTTAATAATTTCGTTCAGTTTTTCCTCCGCTTCTTCAATATCGCTGTTTTTATTTCCCTTAATCGTTGCCCATGCTTCGAAACTCTTGGGGTCGTAATTCATACGGATGAATGTATTCGTCTTGGTCTCTATTGCTTTTAATAAACTTTTGTTAAATCCTCTTCCAAGAACAGAATCCAATTTAATATCCTTTGAAATATTTTTCGTGTTAGCACTTTGTTCCGTGTTGGCCTTTTCAATTATTTCCTTCAATTTTTCTATATCATTCTTCATTCCGCAGTAGTAAAGGGTATCATTATCAATGTGCATTAGAACATTTGTTTCTTCTTCCATTTTTTTAAAGCTACCTTCATGCATATTCAGCATAGATTTGAACGTCCTGTTAGGCATATATAAATAATTTTTTTCTGTTAAGTCGAGATTTTTTACGTGGGTTATAAAATTTTCTATATCTTCCCCGCAGCCAGAAATGAACAAGGACACTTTATTCTCAAAATTGTTGTTGTTCACTTTATCCACATATACCACATATTTATTCTGAATTTTGTTAATAAAATTGAAGGGCTTAATTAGCTGGTTGTATTTGTCACTAGGCATGACAAATTCTTTGTTCGTAATGTCTGCTTCCACAATGGTTACGTTATGTTTTTCCTTTTTAAATTTTATTATTTTATCGACGAAGCGTAATTTCTTTTCTTGGCCTTTCATTTCAGACATACTTTTCACATTCTCTTTTAATTTCTCCTCACATGTCTTTCTCAAGGTGATCAACTTGTTTTGAAAATTTTTAAAACTTTCGTAATTTTTAGTTATGTTTAATTGTTCCTCTAGGTAATTAATGTACGTATTTACTTCTTCCATTTCTTCTTCATTTTTAGGGTTGATTTTTTTCTTCTTCAATTTAGCTTCCTTGCATTTGTTCTCTACTTCTGCAGATGACATTTTCATATTTGTTGGTCTGGGTGTTTGTGCATTTATTTTGGAAATGGATGTGTTGATGGAGGTGATTAAATTTTCGTACTCGCTCTTTCTCTTTGCTTCTGCCTCTATTTTGTCGTTGATATTTTTGCTGTTATCCTGTTTGCTTAACTTTAGAAACTTTTTATTTAAATCGTTTTCTATTTTTTTCCTTTCATCTTCTTTCAGCTTGAGTTCCTTTTTCATGTCTTTCTTGGGTTCTTCCTTGGATTCGTCTTTCGTCACTTCAGTCTTTGTCACTTCAGTCTTTGTCGCTTCAGTCTTTGTCGCTTCAGTCTTCTTCGCATCGGCCTTTTTCACATCGGCCTTTTTCGCATCTGTCTTCTTGGCGTCGGCCTTCTTCGCATCAGCCTTCTTTGCTCCCTTGGCCTTGCCTTGCGCGGGGCTCTCGTTTACCTTTTCCTGCTCCACGGAGTCCTCATTTACGTTCTCCGCAGAAGCATCCTCCTTCTTGTTATTTTTGTTCGCTTTCTTTTTCTTCTTTGGCGTGTTCTGGTTTTGCTCAGCTTTCGTGTTACTAGGACCAGTGGCGTTGTTCTCCTTTGCATTGTTGTTCTTCTTACCATCGGTCTCTTTTTCCTTTTTGTTTACGCTTCCGTTGAGTTGTACCTTTGGCGTTCCTTGGCCTCCCGCGTTGGGGGTCACCTTCTTCTCATTCTTTTGATTCTTCTGGTTTTTCTCTCCCTTCTCAGTCGCCTTCGGAGCCGCCTTCTTCTTATCATTCACCGCGTTCTGAACTGCGTTGTTTTCCTCGTCTGACTTTTCCTCAACCGCTGAGGTCGCCGCGGCCATGGCTTTCTTTCCCATTCTCGTGATGAAGTTCATTCTGCAAAAAAAGGGTTAGAAGGGGAGGCGATGATTGGCGTATGCGCACATGTGCAAGTGTATGCAGCGCTGCCAATATGGCTGCAATGGATTAGCTGCCACAATGCGGAGACTCTCACACGGTATGGGCACAATTTTAATATGCGCATGAAGAAATGAGATAAAAGGGAATACATACATATATATGATAATCTTTTTTCCCGCTTTTCTCTGCTTCCTTTTTTTTTTTTTTTGCAAAATTACTTGTCAAGGTGTGGGTTCCTTCAGATAGGCTGATAATGGAGGGGGTGGATTACCTCCGCGCTGGTTTTTTGTTGTGATAATTTTCTGCCTTGTGACAGCCAACACAAAATAATGTTTGGCTTCGTGGGAGGCAGAGACACAACTTGCTTCTTGCACTATATTGTATGTGCAGGTGTGGCTCACATAAAATATGCACCTTCCTTGCTGCGTTAGGAATGTACGATTCTTAGCTCGTTGTGCGTCGCTTGCACGTTCATTGCATGAATGCACTGCGCATTCGTGTTATAACGCCGTACGTGTGTGTGGGGGGGGAGAGAGAGTATATCTAGGTGTACATATATAGCTGCGTCGCTAATTATATCGTTCAAGTGTAACTCAAAAAAAAATGTTACGCACTCATATATTTTTATTTTCTCACAAGGAGTTATACAGCAATGAAAATACACAAAGGGGCAAATGGGGCAGATTCGCAAACGCACAAACAAGCAAACACAGTTTTTGTACCCTTTCAAGAAAAATAAAAAAATTTGATGTACATGAAATGACTATAACAGCAAATGGGTGGACAGGGGGCAGAGGCGGCAACGTGTGTTAGTAAATTTATATTTTCATTTTTGATTCTCTCTCAACAATACATACTCTTAACAATAGTAAAATGAATATTATAAAATGTGTAAATGTATATATATATATATTATAATGATGGAGATCACTGATATGTGCTCTTTCATTCAATGGTTGAACATTTTTTTTCTACAAAATTATAATACACAAAAAGAAAGAGGAGACAGGAGATTCACCTGGGTTTACGTTTGCGCAATTGTACGATTTTACGCGTTCATATGCATATATATGTACATTCATTAAAAAAAAAAAAAAAAAAAAAAAAGTAACCAACAAGCGGTTAACAACAGGTGACGTTGCATAAAACAAATAGAGAATAAATTATTGTTCTCCTGTCGATATTTTATTTTATTTTTCCCACGGTCCACTTAAACTTTTTCTATCTCCTCTTGGAACAAATATACACGTGTACAAAAAATATATGCTTGCGTCCTGTACATATATTTGCTACGGCGCATATGTACAAACATGAGGTGATGGGTATATTATATACCGTACGTATAATACACGACGTATATGCAACTGTATATACGTGCGTGGGCTGGCGTTCGAATGCTGGATCACATTCTGTGCATGTTTCTAACTACAGCTACGCGCACGGTAACACTAACATATTATTATATACTGCGTACTCTCATTTGTCGTTGCTACGCTACATTAACTCTTTGGCATGGCGCGTAGGTCATGAGATTATATGTACCGGTGAATGTATGGCTACTATATATTATAAAACATACAAATTGTATACAGAGTGTTTATGCGTATTGACGAATTGTAGAGGGGAGGCTTAAGCTTTTAAAACCCGCGCTGTCGTCACATTTGTAAAAATTTCCCTTATACTTTTTTTTTTTCCTTTTAAGAAAAATTTGTTTCTTAAAAAAAAAAAACAAGTACGTAAATTAACAACCTATATAATGTATACGTAATGCGAACATATACTGTTCACTAGCATAACTTTTACTTTTATTGTAAATTTTACATGGTATAATAAATATATACATACATATATATAAATATATGCGTATAAATACATATGTATATTTAAATTTGGTGATAAAAAGCATGAACAAACAATGCTATTTGTAATATATATTATTACTTATATCTCTTTGTATATGTATTTTTTTTTTTATATTATTTGTTAAAATAATAAAAAATTAATTAAATGGATTTATATGTGGGGGATATACGGATGGATAATGCGGATGATGCTATTTTTTATATATGTAAACGTAAAAATGTAAAAAAGGTAACAAAATGTTTACTTCATATGCGCAAAATGGGTACAGTGAGAAAAAAAAAAAAAAAGGTATGCGTTTTTTTGGCTGCGTTGCGCAGGAAATACGAAAGGTTTAAAAAAAGTATACGGTAGCATAATTTTATGTGAGGGTTGAACACCTTATTATAATTCCTTCTTGTCCCCAATAGGTACATACACGAATATATATATATGTATATATATGCATATATGCATGTAATAATATATAATGGTATTATATATATCTATATATATATAATATATGGGGTATTGTATATATAATGTAAACGCACGCGTATACTTTTTTACAGGCGTGTATTGTTACTGCTTTATACGCAGGTAGAGGTTATGCATATTTTGGTTTACGCTGTGGTACTTTTTTTTGAGCGCATTAAAAAAGTACGCAATGTTGTGCTGTACACTATATTTTTTACTCTGCATGGGTTTTATACCCATTTTGGAAATTTTTAATTTCTGCCTTTCGCTATTGTTAACATTGTCGTTTAAGTTGTTTGGCCTTTAACGTGGCATACCCTAATAAATGCACAGTTGCGTTGGCGACATACGCACAGAGGAAAACACGGGTGACAGGTGCTTCAAATAAGGTGAAAAAAACAAGCACCAAGTGCACTTTGGCATGGGTGTTTTTCTTTAACTACCTATATTTAGCAAATTATATGTAGTCCTTCCCCTAATTTATGCATATTTCCAATTTCGTATGCTGCCGCCATTTTGGCTTTGCCGGTGCGACGCCATTTTTTGTACCTGACAATATCCCGAAAGCATATAACACGCTGACAACGAAGGCAAAAAAAAAAATATATATATTCGCTTAACAAAGGGATATGGACATATATATTATATACGTGCTCTAACCCTCATGTGGATGTACGCGTTGTTGTGGGAAGGTAACCCTAATTAACGTTACCGTCCCAGTAACCACTGCCAAGTGCGCACTGGTGTATGCACGTGGGTAGGTACAGATGCGCAGCGACATATGCTAGTGGACCTCCTCCGCAGCGGGCTATCTGACCCGAATATAAGGCAACGTCAGGATAATGCGCGTAACATATTCGAAATAAAAAGAAGTACAAATAACATGTTTCGTGCTCGCTTTTTTTTTCCCCTTTTTTTTTTTTGTTCCTGCCCACGCATTATACTGAGAAATTGTAGTCGGGGGCTGTTTATGGCATTTTATATTTTGCTCCAAAAGGGTTACACAAACAGGGCATTTTTTATGTTGCGGAAATTTGCAGTTGGCCTAGCAGCATATCATCGTGCATGCCGAATTTCATAGTTCTTGGCGAGTCGCCTTTTGTAATTCACCATTTTATTCGCAAGGGGAAAAGAAGATATAAATTAACAAAAAAACGCATCTCATATTATAATAATAAGTGTTGCCTTCTCGGCAGTGCGCACTTGTACTACCCCTTTTTTATGCCTTTGTATTTTTAAATAATGGTAGAGTGAAAAAAATGGTTGTTTTAACACATGTACCTATTTTTACAACGTGCGCGCTTGCCAGCTTTGCTGTGCCTGCCCTCAACACCACTTTGCAAAACTCAGGGCAGAAAATATAAAAGTGGACGTATAATGTACGGCTGTTTACCAAAATAAAAAAAAAAAAAAAAAAAAAAAAAAAAAAAAAAAATCAACCATTGTGGAACAACTTCCCCGCAACATGCTAAAAAAAAAAAAATGTTCTCCTCTATTTTTATATTCCTCCAGAAGTGTACAACAAAAATATGGGAAAGGTGTTTAAGGGAAATGTGTTTTTTTTAAAAACTACAATTTTTGAAGCAGTCGCTTTTTGACAAAGGGGCGCCTGTTGTACGTATAAAAATAGTGTGCATAAGCGCATATGCATACATATATACGCACAACGTGTGTGAACAAGCACATTGAGTGTCGCCTTGCATAGTACATGCCGTTTCTTCTTCAACATTTTCCTGGTGAAGAGGCCAAATTTTGTCTACGTGAAATGAGGGGGCCCATGTGGTGAGTTCTTTCGTGTGTAAATTCGCTAAGAGAAGGAGACTCTTTGTGATTAGCTGTTCGAGGGGTCGGCAAACATGTCACGATTCATCATCCTCATGAGCAAAGCATAATATCTGTGAGCAAAATTGGGTAAACAATTACCCCTAGCAGGCATATACATATGCATACAGTGTGTGTATGTATGTACATCCTGTCTTCACCGAACACAACACCTTTGCTAATACAAAACGTTTCGTCACCTCAAAAGAGAAAAAAAGGTCTTGACCACCGCAAAGGAAAATAAACGAATAAGGACAACACTGGAATCAGCACCTGTTTGAACCGATTTACAGAATGATAACCAAAACGATATTGTAACAATTAAAATAATGTCATTAAGCAAACGTAAAAATGTACTACTACACATATGTAAAAAGTTGTGCCAAGGCACTTTTTTTTTAAAAAGAAGGAAATAGAGGCATACACAATATGCTGAGCGGGGCGGGGAGGGAGGAGAAAGGACTTAAAAAAAAAAAAAATAATAAAATGGGGCCAAAAAAAAAAAAAAAAAAAAAATCAGTGCATTTAATCCATACGCTATACTTTACACCAAAATATGATTCTCCCAAATGGGGTGTTTACTCGTGCATTTTTACGTATGGATGAAATGGTGCATCGGTAAAGTGCACACACGGGGTGCGATACGCACATATAGAAACGCATAATGATGTTGGAACAGGCCCACTTTGTAGATGGTCTACCGTTATAAGTGGGACTCACCATGAGGAAGATGCGCACGTTGCCCCTCCTACGAAAGGAGAAAAACACGCCCGCCAAATAACTACCCCGAGACGTTACTCAGACGCGTAGTCATTCATATTTTCAAACAAATAGTTGGCCGCCATTTCCTCATTCTTATCACAAGCAATGAAAGCTTCCAACGCTAAGTGCTTTGGAAATCCAAGCGATTCCAACTTTTTAATACTTTCCATTTCGGTCTCATTTAAAGGCGTAATGGGAATATGAAAATTTTCATTATTGGGGTCGGTAATAATATTTTGGTGCTCGGGATCATCAAATACTTCTCCTTCCATTAAATCATTTTCTGCATTAGCTGCTATATGGTCATTATTGCCATAATTTTGAATGGCCCTTATAAATTCGCCTTGGTTCTCTCGTATAAATTCTAAAAACGAAGGATCCGTCCTTCCTATCATTTCTAGAATTTCTGGAATGCGTTGTGGATTCGTTAAAGCTACATCTCGTAGGATATTAAAAAATGGGGAATTTCTAAACTGCTCTGTATTTTCTGGTACAGATTGTCTAGAGTTATCTAGTAGGGAATTATAATTATTTAAAAGGTTTGGCAAATTGGGTGCAGTCTCATTATCTTCTCTCTCGTACGAGTTGTCATTTGTTTCATTTGTTTCATTCGTTTCATTCGTTTCGTTCGTTTCATTCACGTCAGGCATTGCGTTCATGGCGTTCATTTCATTCATCCCAGTTATTGTACTTAGTGCATTTAGCTCATTCATTTCACTTTCATCTGGAAAGCCATTTGTCAAATAATCAATCGCTCTATTGGGGTTGTTAAATGCTAATATCATGGCCTTTTTTACGGCTTCTCTTTCAAACCCCATAGCACAGATGTTGTCTATGGTCTCTTTTAGTTTTTCCCCAGTGACTAAAGCTGATTCTGCATTGTTAAGGCTACTGCCTTGTCTGCCCTCCTCTAATACATTTGAAGCGGCATTATTTTGATCACAATTTGTGGGCAAAGAAGCCATTTCATTATTTTTTAAAATGTTTGTAGATGATGATTCTTTTGTCTGGTTATTCTTCGTAGAACTAAATATCTTTTTACACGCCATAACTATAACAATGCCGTTTTCTTTTAATACATCAACTGCTTTGCTTTCATCCTGTAATATATTTCCACTGAAAATAAGCTTCTGTTTATCGGATGGCATTTCGGGGAATGCCACTCCTATCTTTTTTTTTAAGTCTAAAATGGTGTCATCACTGTCGACACTGATTTCTTCTTCATTGTTCTGAAGTGTCCTTACTTTTATTTTCATTTTTGAGGGAGGGGGGGAGGGAGGAGCGGCTATGTGGATTGGGAAGGTTATAGGCGGTTAATATGTTTATTGTGATACTTTACTGGAGTACTACTTGATTGATACGCCGCTTCGACACAGGAACAATAACTTTATGCGCAAATCCGCATATAAACACAGTTGTACTCACGAGTAGCCACGCCGTAAACGCACAACCGGCCGAACTTTCACAACACGTCGTGTGGCGGCCAATACACGCCGGGGAGCAAACTATCGTGGCGATGTAAAAAAAAAAAAAAATACGGAGCGCAACAATGGGGATGTACTTGGAAAGGTAACAAATACGCGGTTATCCGTCTTCGCTAGTTTTTATATTTTTGTCTACCAACTTATATCCAACACCTTTTTTAAAAAAATGGCACAAAAAAATGTTTTTTTTTTAACACGTAAACGAGACACTCGGGGTGTACAAATGCGTCACGTTGCAATCGCGTTATTTATACATGAAAGGGGGTACACAAGTTAGTGCATATATACTACATATACGTGTATGCCCCCTATACATTTTATTTATTCATTTTTCCCACATTCCATTTCGTGCGCCTTCCTTCACTCATTTTATCCCTGAAAAAGTCAAGAAAAATATTTGCGCAAAGCGCTCGCGCGGAAAGACTACTTAACTAGTTGTACTCTCTGGTGGTTGCTTCTGCATTTTTTTATATTATTTTTGTTTCTTCTTCCACTTTTGTAATTAAATTTGTAAAGAAGCACATGGGTGAGGAGTTTTAAATATTTCTTACACGCGTTTTTATTCTTCGTAACGATATGAACGTAAAAACGAACATGTCAAAAATTGGGGAATTATAATAAATGGTAAAATGGTAAAATGGCAAATAATAAAAGTGCAGATAACACTTACTGGGCTGGATCGTTTTCTTCAAGATAATGTACTGCAGCGTTTGGAGCGGACTTTATAACATGTGGGTTTGGATTTACGTAACTTTATAAGCATAGTATTTTTGCTTCCCTTTGTTGATAAAGCTAACGGGTTTGAGAAAATAAAACAAAGAAAACTGCAAATTGGCGTAAAAAAAAAAAAAAAAAAAAAAACAAATGACAAACCTTTTTTTTTTGCTGAATATAATTTGTCCCATTTGCTTCAACATGTATTTGTATGCACTATAAAATAATACATGGGTACAAGTTTAAAAAAAAAAAAAAAAAAAAAAAACAAAAAGCTGAAAAGGACACAATGACAAAGGCGCAAAATAAGAACATAGAAATATTTCCATTAAATTTTTTCTTCACCATTTTGTTCGTAAATTAGAGAAAAAGACCGTCACGAAATATCACATCCAATCCGTTATTTTCTCGCTTGTTTCTTTCGCCCCTTTTCACATTATAACGACAATTATATAATCCACCTGTACAATCGATAGGTTATTGCGCGCACATATGGCAGCGTGCATATGTATGAAAGTATGCAAATGGTATGTATAAGCAAGAAGGCGCATGTATTAAAAGTAAATGCGTGATGCTCCTTTCCTCTTCCTCGCTGTGACGACTGAACGAGCCAGTACAGAAAGAGAAGGCCACCTCTATTTTAAAACAACACAAATTTTATTATTTTTTTTTTTATTCCACCAAATGATAATGCGATAAATATATCACACCTTTGTGTATAAAAAAAAATTCCCCTTCGCCGTTGTGAAGAGCTTTTAAATAAAATTGTACCATTTGTTGTTCTTTTCTTCTAAGAGAAAATTATTAAAGGAAACACGGTGAGAGTCCCATCTTGCATAAATATAGTCTGGAGTTTTAAAAATGTCTGATGATACATCATCCATTTAATCATTTCTCCAGCTTAATTCTTCTCTATGTAGAGGAACATTCGCACCTGGAGGGTGAGCAATAACAGTAACCAGAGAGCCGAAATAAAATTGTACAAAATTTAGCAGAGTGGGTAAATTCTGGCGAAAGGGAAGAAGTTGAAAAAGGTGCCTTGTTTTTTTTTTTTTTTTTTTTTTTTGCCTACTATGATATAGTCTTGTACATTTTACTGGAAGCGCGTCCGCTCAAAAAAGTAGCTTAAATTTATCACGTCCATTTGTTCATATCCCTTTTTTGAGCCCCTTTTGGAACAACCGCCCCACTGTCTTACACCTTGTGATGAACAAACTGTGTTGACTCTCACGTGCGCATTTGCCCCCTTTGGACATTTGCCCATGTAGATGAATAGGCGTTGCGCACATTAGTGAGGAGCACACACGGCAGCCATGCACACGTTTTGCGGTTGCTTGAATTATCGTGTGTACATGCATGCGCATCTGCAGATGTGTATACATATATGCACACATATAGCGCCCCAGCGTGGTAACATAAAAAAGAGTCTCATCAATGCGCACGTTTAATAATATTCTTAAACAAAGCGCAAATGTGAAGAGAGGTAACGGTCGTTTTTTTATAAGACCCCGTTTCAAGGCATACCATAACGTGTCGCACAGATATAAAGTTGAAGATGCTACCACGTACGACCGAGAAGTTAAGATAAAGCAGATGAATTCTTCTGTCTTGTGTATTTTCTCTAATATGCTTTTAAAGGAAAATATTAAGAATGACTTTATTTGGAAAAAAATAGAAAGGAGGTCCTACGAAATAATGGATAAATTTGAAGTCGGAGACATCGCATCCTTCTTATTTTGCTTGAGCAAAATGAGATACGAAACAAACTTATATGAAAGTTTTATTCCAATCATAAAAAAAAAGTGTGAATATTTTAATACGTCCAATTTAGCTATGCTAATATCGACGTACTCGAAAAGGAAGAAGGAAGATTTAATCATAGTGTTAAAGGAGGAATTAAAAAAAAAAGTACACACCATTCATAATGTAGTGGAGATCTGTATGATTCTAAATGCCCTAGTTAAAAGCAAAATATATGATGAACATTTATTTGTCAAACTGAGTAATATAATTGCTGAAAATGTAATTCGCAACCATGTGCACGTAAGGGATATATGTGTAATTGCCTACTGCTATGCGTGCATATTGTACAAGAATATGAATTTTTTCAAAATTTTGGCGCAAAAAATTGTTCTCCTGATGGATGATATAAATTTAGTGGACCTGTGCAGAATATTATACGCATACATGAGAGTAGATCAAAATTTTTATCACATATTAAAGCTGTCTGCACTTAAGTTAGCCAACGTTATGGACAGCAGTTCTATCAGTGACGTCATTAACTGTGTTCATTTTTTACCCATATTGAAAGAAGTTGTTGAAGCGCGCAATGACTCTACGACGAAGAGGATTGATCCCCATATAGACGGATCATTCAACTACAGCATAGATTACGTACATTTTCTCAATTATATAATAAACGCCTTCAATGAGAAATTGCTCAGCTACTTGAATTTGTTGAGTGCAAACCAGGTGAGCAATCTTTTTTACATTTACTCCAGGTATAACATCCTTATAAGTCTGTCCAAAATGGACATTTTTGTTTCGCACATAAGAAATATGAAAGTGGCGAACGAGTTAAAAATTTACATTTTGTATTCGTTGGCAATACTGTTAAAAAATTATGAAAGCAACAACAGTGGTCTATACATTTGTGACCCGCTGGATATAAACAAAATTTTTGTTAAGCATCATGGCGAACATTTCGTGGATCAAACGCACAGGAAAGACAACATCAAATGTTTAAATAAGCACGATTACGACGCAATGAAGAATAACCTTCTGTGCTGCTTGAAGCAGTGGGAAGACGACATCAACCTGTTTGTAACTAACTACGACATTTGTTCGATTCAAGACATTATAAAGGTCTTAAGCATTTTTTTAATCCTCAATCATACGCGAAACTCACTTATTTCCAACATCAAAACGTACGTTATAATGAACTACAAAAGTGTGAATGAACACAATGCCTACACCTTGATGTTTTATTTTCAAAAATTAAATGTGATAAATGATGATGAGGACTTTGCACAAATTTTGAAGTGTAAAATTAAATCGCTAAAATGAAACAGCCAAAGTGATCAACAAAATGAAAATTTTTTATGAACAAAGGTTTGTCAAAAAAAAAAAAAAAAAAAAAAAAAATTAAGCTTATACTTAATATTCTGCATGCACGTGGCAGATTTTTTCCTCTTAAAGGCGTAAAATGGAGGTAGCTGTTTTTTTTTTTTTTTTTTTTTTTTTTGTGCCTGAACAAGTCATACATTTTGAGCAAATAAAATAGCCATAAATTGCATAAACGACAAATGCCTTTTGTAAGCCTACATTTTTGTGCTTTATTTTTTTTTCCAGATTTTGTAAAAAATTCTGCAACAAATTGCCCATCATTTGAGGTTTTTTTATTTTCCAACACATTTTTCGTTTGTAGTAGCTTCAACCACTTTTTATCGTTATATTTATTTTTACTCCATTTTTTTTTTTTTTTTTTTTTTTCTGCCTCTACCTCTTACGCTTTTTTACAAATCCCATTTTTGCAAACTTTCCTTTTCCCGTTTGAAGACCTTTTCATTGTGTCCCTTTTCCTGCTAATGGCACATTTTGTTCAAAAATAAACGTATAAAAATTGCAACACATATATATATTTATTTATTACAAAGGCGCATAATCACATCGTAGACAGAGTGAATTATTATGTTCTTTTTTTACAACTATCAGCAGCTTGTGAAAAAAAAAAAAAAAAGCCGCGGAAAAGCCTGCATAAAAAACAAATTTACACTTTTAACGCAAAATTTTATTCAAAATGTTGCGTCTAGGAAAAATGAGCAAGTGCTGCTGCTTCCCATTAGCGGGGGGATGCATTATTGGAATTATGATTCATATAGGATTTTGCATATCAGCAATATTCTCCCATGGTCAAGAATATAAAATTCTGCTCATAATTACAAATGCAGTATTGGCCGCCTTGTTAATTCTTGGATTGACACTCAAAAGTTCTATTATTTTTTGCATTGCTGCTATTTCTGTGGGCTTTATTCTGGCAAATTACCTTGTATCCTTTATACTTATCTTCATTTCTCTTTTTATAAAGGATAAGTACACACTGGAAAGTAAAATTTTTACCACAGTTATTGTGTTCATTATGCTGTTCACAACAACCGTTTTCTTTAACATTTATTTATCCACATGTAAAGTTTTGAAAGCTGGGGGAACAGGCTGGGAATTCAAGAATTATATGGAGATCGAGTCTGACCAGCAGTTGCAGAAGAGGGAAGAAAAGAAGGAAGAGAAGAAGGAAGAATCGGGCACCTATAGTGATTACAAAGCTTAATTTAAATTTATTGTTGTGTGAGATGGACAGCCCCAGGCATACTCGACTTCTGCGGGACACAAGTGATATGCGCGTTGTGTTAATCTGTGAGTCCAACACACAAGCCGCGCGAACAGGAAATATGCACCTGACGCTAGTCTAAGATGCTAAGAAGTGACGTCGTTATTCAAGCCCCATGGTCAACCCTTCAAGGCACCTTGGTGAAATGAGGGAAACGCATGATATAAGTGCGGAGCACGTGAAAAAAGGTGAGGGATGTGAAGAATCACGCATGTCCAATGAGTGATACCAAATGTGGCCGAGGAACAAGAAACAAACAGAATAGAACAGAACGATGCGTTAAGTTGGTTATCTCCTAATACACCTCACCTTTTCGCCCTAACTGTACATGCAAGTAAACGGTGTATGAGCTCCTGCATTATCCCTTCCCCTTCCATCTCCACGCCCTAATTTATTCGTTTGCCTATTCTTTTTTTGCACACCTATTCTTTTTTTTTTTTTCGTGTGTCTTCACTAGTTCGTCCCATTTTACGCGAGGAACATAAGGTGGGACTTCTTACGAAGTTTTTGCTTTTTTCGAAAATTGGAAACTGAACCCCTATTCATTAAATTATCAATATTCCTTATTAATTATAAATACGAGGCTATAATTAAGCAACCGCAATAGGCAGTTGAAATGGAGAACAAGGACGGGTGCACGCGCACTTCATTTTTGCGTTGTGATGTTTGCAATATTGCAGAATGTAGCGCAGACGGCGCAAAAGTATATGCAGGTAACTTCGTTCACTTAATGCTGCACACTGTAGTGTGTTAACATTGGTGTGGCTGCTTTTTTTTTGTTGCTTAATCCAACCGTTTGGTCTCACTTCCTATTTCGCTGCGTGTTCGTTTCGCTTAGTGCTCTGCCTCTATTGTGTCGTATGTGTACCCTGAAAAGGCGCAAAAAAATTATGAATATTAAAAAGGTAAATGGATATAAACTGGGCTGTCAACTGTGGCCACACGACGGTAATCCTATTCATGTTAAAAAAAAAAAATATAGCAACGAAGGGGCTGTCACGCGGATTTGCATATATAAGCGTGTATGCATATGCACTTATAATGAGGCGCCCACTTCAGTGTGACTCTCACCAATTGCAGGTCAAAAAGGATAAATGAAAACAACACGCACATTGTACGTATTAATGCACATAGGGAGTTATGACCATCGGGTTTTATTTATGCTCTTCAAAATTTTTGTTAGGATAACAGGCCCCTAATTGTGGAAAGAGCATAAAATGTAAACGCTTTATCGCATGATGTGAAGTGGCAAGGCAAATTTATACTCGCGATAATTGTGCCCCATCTGGTATGCACATGAGAAGAAAAACCATAAAATGAATAATTGAAGATCATACATTGCAAATCTCCCCCCCCAAAAAAAAAAAAAAAAAAAAAAAAAAAAAAAAAAAAAAACGCCCATCCAGTAAAATATACATTTTTTACACTTTTCTGAGATAAATTAAGAAGCTAAAGGAGAAAAGCAGAAAGAACGCAATTACGAGTAGCCACAGTGTTTAAGGGGCTAATTTTGCATCGTATATATATTAACCACACAGGAGTGTAGCCTCTTTTTACTCTTTGTTCAAAATGGCAGAATGTGGGGGAGGCCTGATGAGCGAAATTGACAATTTAATCAATGACGTGGAGGAGGAGAGAGAAAATTACGACGAGCTACAATTCTGTGTAGCCCCAGTAAGAGTCCCAAGAAATTTCATAAAAGATGCAAAGACAAAAAATAACAAACTGTTTGACTTTCACAAAGGTACAACCACATTGGCCTTCAAATTTAAGGATGGAATAATAGTAGCAGTAGACTCAAGAGCTTCCATGGGCTCTTTCATATCTTCACAGAACGTTGAGAAAATTATCGAAATTAATAAAAACATTTTAGGGACCATGGCAGGAGGAGCAGCAGACTGTTTGTATTGGGAAAAGTATTTGGGCAAAATTATAAAAATTTATGAATTAAGAAATAATGAGAAAATTTCTGTGCGAGCAGCCAGTACCATTTTGAGTAACATTTTATATCAATATAAGGGGTATGGATTATGCTGTGGAATAATTTTAAGTGGTTATGATCACACCGGTTTCAACATGTTCTACATTGATGATGAGGGGAAGAAGGTGGAGGGCAATTTATTTAGTTGTGGAAGTGGTAGCACTTATGCTTATTCCATTTTAGACTCTGCTTATGATTATAACTTGAGTCTGGAGCAAGCCGTGGAACTGGGCAGGAATGCAATTTATCATGCCACCTTCAGGGATGGTGGCTCTGGTGGGAAGGTTCGAGTTTTTTACATACACAAGAATGGCTACGACAAAATTATCGAGGGGGAGGATGTTTATGATTTACATTATCATTACACGAACCCGGCACAGAACGACCAGCACGTTATGTAGAGCGGCCTAACGCGGAGCGCTTCCGCGAGCTGACCGTTCACTCTAACCGTTTCTCCCGTGTTCTGTACATCCCATATTTTGCACACATTTTGGTCCATTTTTTACCATTTTTTAGCCATTTTTTTTTGCACAATTCTTACATTGCATGTGCAGGTCAAACTGGGCAATTGCCTTTTAAAAAAAAAAAAACTTTTTTTCCATTGCAGGAAGACCCACTGCAAACCTTGTTGGTCGTAGAACGGTCTGCATATTTCCTGTCTGCACATTTTGTGCTTCCCCATATTTTACAACTCATTATATGAGCAGTTTAGGACTTAAAAAAAAAAAAAAAGTTTTACGTTTTTTTTTTTTTAATTTTACAAAAGGGACAAGGACGCGGTGTGCGGGAAATTAAAAATGTAGAGGTTGATGCCATTTGGGCATGCTGATCAGGGAAACACACCAAGTTGGAGTGGCAAATTGAGGGAACATGCACACGGATACATAAAAGCACATGCGTGATGAGTGGGCCTTCCCCCCTTTTTGCGCGAGCGCCATACCCACACGTGCAGCGAGTTCCCACTCTGCGAAGCGGCTAAATGTAATGCCCTATTTTAATCATGAGGAAATTCTTGAGCAGGTAACTGGCCAGCACAGAAAATATGGAGTAGCAAATATAATTTCCGTCATTGGAAATGAATATATGATAAGCGATTGTGTTACATATAATGGTGTATACATGTAGGTATATATTAATATAATTATAATTGAATACCTTGAGGATGAAGTAAATGACGAGGGGGTAGTTGCTGAGGACAAACAGCATAAAGAGGTAGTTGTACTTTACCATGGTTATTTTAATTTTATATTTTTTTTCCTGATATAGCTTGAGAATATATGTAAAAATGCACAAAAAAAGAAAATAGACCATATAATTAATGGTCATTGATTTTAATTTTTTAAAGGAAAACGAAGAGTTACATATTTTCAAAATATATTTTTCATTGTCCAAATCGGAAAATAAAAGTTTGGAGTACATGCTGATTTGTTTAATTTTAAATTTATGTTTCTTTTGATTTTGCTTTTTTGTTATTTCGTCCACATTTTTGTGAAAAGTAAAATCGATATTTTTGAAAATATTTCTGCACAAGCTGTTAAGTTCGTCTCCCGATCTGTGCACATATTCATACCTATCACCATGAAGGTCACAATCGTAGCAATGATTTTGTGAAAAAAAAAATTCTTTTGTCGTGTCTGGACAAACATCCCTTGTGGAGGGTTTCTTTACAAATGAGTTTGTCTCACTTTTGAAGTAATTCTTCGTTTCACTCCCTTTTTGGTAAAAAAATATGCTGCGCAAAATTTTGAAAAGGTAATGAATATTGTACGCTTCCTTCTCTCTCGTCTCCAGAACTAATTTGTATTCATCAATGTGGTAATAGACGAGGACGTTTATAATTTGGAAGAGGCTGTTGCGTTCTTCCGCGTTTTTCAGAGTAACAATGTCGTTCCTCAACAGTTGATGATTTTTTTTTAGTTTGAAAATGGATTTGTACTTTACGCTCCCCTGTATGAGCTGCGATAGCCATGTTGTGGCGTCACGAAATGGGTGTAGTTTTGTCCAGTTGAGGGTGTCCGAGGTGGACTTCCCATGCAGAAGTGTATCCCCCATACCAAGTTGCGCATTCCAAGTACTCTGCTGCACGTGCTCCCTCCTATAATTCTCCTTGTTGTGAAGAAATAAATCAATCAGGTGCTTGTCATAATCCTCCGTATGTTCGTACTTCCGGTTGAGGATACACATATTGTGGTCCCTAAATCGGTTGTGGAAAATGCAAGTCAGGAACTTGTTCTTGTGTATATTCACTAAATTGGGAACGTTCGATTGATTAAAAATGTTATACAGCCCATACAGCTTGTGCTTATCATCATATTTGTACATAAAAAGAGTGTAGGAGGAGCAGTTGTACTGATTAGGATAATTCCTTTGCGTGCTGTCCCCGAAGGTACTATTCTTAAGAAAGAAATCGGAGAAGGTTCCTCCTTCCTTATGGTCATTTTCAAAGTTCGGGTGTAAGTAGGCATTTATTATTAAAAACAAAATTATCATTTTGAGGAAAAAAACGTGAATAAATTTGTCATGATACTTGAGTCGATTAAATATGATGTGTCTATACACTTGGGGCTTGAGGAATAAAATATTTATAAAAATTAGGAACGTGTTTTTCTCCATGTATTCATCACATATGTTTCTGCACCGGTTACATTCGTTCAACTTTATGTTCGTCTTATTGTACACAGTGTACAGACTGGAGTTGCACCTCCCGCATTTGATGCAAATCATTTTGTCCTTTCAGCCTTCTATGCGTGGTGCGCCAAAATGTTTGGTTTCCCCAGTGGGGGTGTAGACTACAGGCACAAACAAGCGCATATGCGACTGCACATACGAATACATACCTCCCTTGCTTGCATACACTTTGGGAACATGCTAGTGGAGCAACAAAAAAGAAAAATAATATGCTTAGGAAACAACTAACCAAACCGATGCTCACATGGCAAATCCCAGAATTGCTCAGACATACTAACCCTACCCCCGATTCTCATTTCCGTTGCATTAGGAAAAGTGCGCCCACTAGCGGGTGTTCGATGGGTGATTAAAGGGAAGCGGAGCAAGGAAAACAGGTGGTGCGGATTAACGGGACGGTTAAACGTCGCCCTTTTTTTAATCATTTCCCCATTTTTTTGCCTCTCCGCACATTGCCCAAACGAGCATGAATTAGAGTTCCCCCTCTTTTATATACACGTGGAAGTTCCGTACGCCACAGAGTTAAATTTACGCGCTAAAAAAAAATACTTGTGCCCATTCAGTCGGCCAACCTTAAACGCTCGATTATCCCCACGTTCACATGCTGAGCGATCAGTTCGTGGTGTGCATCTACAGTGTGTACATGCTTTTTTAATTTGTTTTTTTTTTTTTTGCGGGGCTTGTCAAGCTAAGCGAGTTCCCAAAAAAAAGGAACGATCTTTTTTACGCAACAGTTACATGAGCACCTCCAGATGGGCACAATGCTTTTACAAGGATTAATAAGAAAGTTTGATCAAAGAGGGTGAGTATATGAATGTAAATAATTACGCGCGTGTGTACACATATATATACATATATGTATAAGTATACACACGCGGGCAGGGACGTAAAAAAAAAAAAAAAAAAACTATACAGCCATAGCTGCGCAAATTGCGCCAAATAATTCACGGAAGGGGATTAAAAGGAGGCGATCTCCCTGTGGAAGTAAACGCTTGCGTGGGTGCCTATGAGGACGTACCACTAGGCACATGGACGCATCCGCAAACGCACACTTTACTTATTCTTTCGATATAGGTAGTTCATAAAGAACAGCAAAAATAGGAAGAACAGGATGAGGTAAAACATGTATTTATTTCCCTAAAAAAAAGAAAAAAAAAAAAAAAAAAAAAAAAAATATGATCAATCATGTGAAACATTTTCAAGTAAAACAGACTGGAGCATTTAAAAAATATATATTTTTTTTCTCTCACTACTATACCTTTGTCTTTATAATATTTTTCACGCGCCTGTACACTCCTGTTAATTTTCTGTTCACGTGTTCCATCCTGTGCGACAACCACAAAATTTAAAAAAAAAAAAAAAAAAAAAAAAAAAAAGGGGATTAAATTTTTTTTTTTTCCCAAAAAAAAAAAAAAAAAAAAAAAAAAAAAAAAAAAATATGATCAATCATGTGAAACATTTTCAAGTAAAACAGACTGGAGCATTTAAAAAATATATATTTTTTTTCTCTCACTACTATACCTTTGTCTTTATAATATTTTTCACGCGCCTGTACACTCCTGTTAATTTTCTGTTCACGTGTTCCATCCTGTGCGACTACGACGAAATTGTAACAAAAAAAAAAAAAAAAAAAAAAAAAAGGGGATTATTTCATTGTTTGCTTATTTGCAGTGGGGACATGGTATGACAACTTTGGACGGGGGTAGTGGTGGTGTAACATATCCAGGTACCACTCTTTGGGGATATAAAATTTGCCTCTTTCCATTTTTACCAAATTGTCCAGGAGGGAATTGGATGTGCGGACTTCATCTCTCAGGTTGGATCCAAGCTTCAAATTTTTTGCGATTAAAAAGATGCGAAAAAAAAAAAAAAAAAAAATACTCATTTGAATGTCAAAACTGGGTATCCATTCATGCGTGTACATTTGTAGCCACTCTACATGCCTCTCCTCCGAACAGTCGTTTGTCTTATTCACATGCAAACGCAATCACATTAGCAACCCTTTCACGTATTTTAGCTGCCAATTGTCTTACCAGTTTGAGGGTTTGAACCTTTTTCTCCAAGTCAAGTATGTAGTTGTCATTTTCCTCTAGGTATATATTTATGTTTTCATTATATATGTCATTGTTATTATTTTTTTTTTTCTTCTTCCTCGAATTAAAATCCATATTAAATGAACGTTTTAAAAATTGTCATTCTACCGTTTTCGATAAGGCGAAGAAGGTTTTATAAATATAAGTAACGCGCTTCCTTTTTGCGGGCAACAAGTCGAAATCCCGTAGTGCGAAAAGGAACAAAAATACAAATACTGTTTTTGCTGCCTGGGGAGTATAGCGCCTAACAGCGGGTTCCACAAATGTGAATGCGCCTTAGGTAATAACGCTGTCGTCCTTTTCGTCTTTATGTTTTTGTGCTTCCTTCTCCCGTTCCGTTGCTCATTCCCTTCGTTTCAATTTTTGGCCTGGTCGCCCAATGTGAAAAATCGTCTACTTGGGGATGATTGGCGATCTGTTCGCCTGCGGCATGCATTCGCGGAAGTTCGAATCTGTAGGAAATTCTTCATGTAAACGTAATACTTTTATGCGATAGGGGTATACCTATTGTGTGTACATAACGTGACAGGCGAAAAGTGCGGAATATACAAACTGAAAAAAAAAAAAAAGATAAACAGATTGGTATTAAACTGATTATAAAAAAGGCGAACAAATTGGCAATAACATGACCATAAAAACGGCGAAACAAATTGGCAAAAACTGGCGATAAAAAATGACGATAAAAAACGACGAACAAATTTGGCGCGCAAAATGACCAACAAATGGATGAAGAAGAAAACGTGCAAATTGGCGAAGCACAATTTTTTATAAAAGATAATTTTTTTTTGAACCAACCTGCGTGTTAATTTCGCCCCCTGCGGTGGGTAAGTAGTCCGTAAAATTTTGCCACAGAAAAAAAAAAAAAAAAAAAAAGCAATTTTTTCGACAGGTCCATCAATTTTCCGCTCCTTCCGCTGTTCCTTTTTTTATTTATTTTTTTTTCTTTTGGAACTCCACCAATCCAGGGGTCCCACCCCATTAATGCTCAAGCTTCCGACAGTCCAATTTGGAAAAAGGCGCAGAAGCTATCTCAAGACTAGAATACAAAAAAGAAAAAAGTATACACGTATTTTTTTTTTAATATTACATGCACTTGTGTAATCACATTCGGGGTGTTTAAGAGAAGCATGTGAAAATTTACCCACATGTTGATAACCTGTTTGTAGCTTCATTTTTTTTTTTTGTTTTAATTTCCTTCAAAGTTGTGTGGAGCGAACAATGGCTGCGTTAGCACCAATGAAAGTGAATACTGCGCATAGTTAACTGCGAAGCGTGGGTCGCTTTTGTTATATGTGTTTGCCCATCGTTGGAATTTTCCCCCTCCGTACACACCCAACGGTGTATAGATTAATATAAAACCCAAAAGGACAGATGTGCTGTGCCACCAAAAAGATTAAAATGGATAAATGGGTAAGCGACGAAAAACGTGTTAAAACCCGTCTACAATTAAAGGGGGGGAAGGAACTCTGTGTCAAACTACTTCTACACGTTTATGCATCCTGAAATTAGTAGCAGTTGGTAGCATTGAAACTCATCGCAGAAAAAAACTCTCACTTTCGGCGAATCAGCCATGTTTCACTTGGGGAAACTGGACGTAGGTTAACAAAAAAAAAAAAAAAAAAAAAATGAAAAAACAAAAGAGACGGAAAAATGTAACCGAGGAAGAACTCGGCATGGACGAGTTGGACGAATCAGACGAATTGAGCTCCCCTGGGGAAGGCAGAAAAACAAGAACGAATTACACACGTAAGCGCAAGAATTACCGGGAGCTGTACTCTGAATACATTGAAACGCGAAACAGCAAAATAGATTTTTCCTATTATATAAATATAGAATCGACGATCATGGAGCTGCTGCTAGATAATAATCTCGAATCGTTTAACAATGCTGGGAAGCTTCTCTTTATCATTTTGTCCGGTCTGTCCCCCAGGGTGTTGTACTTGAAAAGAGTGTTAAACTTAGTACACTTTTTTTTTTACAAAGGAGGGATCAAATTTTATCACAGTGATATTCACCTGAAAATACTCCTCTTCATTTTTACCAGAATTAAATCTAGGTATATGATTCCTCGTATGCGTATTTTTAATCTCCTGGTGTCCAATAATAATTTAAACGAGCTTGACAAGTACAAATATGTGTACACCCCAAAGGGCAGTTTTTTCACCTTTGTCGACCACCTGTATTATCACATAAAAGATTTCATGATCACAGTAAGGAAAGTGCTAATGCAGGATTGGGTTGAGAAGGTACAGGCCAAAATGGTATCATCGAGCAAATCCAAGGAACACCTCCTAAAAAAATTAAAGGCGAGTCAAAAAATCGTCCTATATAAAGAAACAGATGAAGAAGTATTAACACACTTTTCAAAATTGTTCAACATAGAATATGCAAAATCATTGGAGAAATCTCTTAAACTATTAATTCAACAATGCTTTAAGATTAACTTTCCCCTGCACAGCATCTACCTGGACATTTACATTTTGTATAATATAAAGAACGTGGTGAAACTGCTGGTGGTGATAGACCAGCTGTTCTGTTCCATGTATCCCTACTACTACTTTTACGAATTGAAAGTGAAGCTTCTTCTTCTGCATATACATAAGTGCCAAGCGGGGGTGACTGCGCAAGCGGCAGCTGCAACTGCGGTGAAAACTGATCCGCTGGCAGACCCTATAAATGACGCTACCGCTATCGCTACAGGGGATGTGACAGCCCTGAAAAGCGAAGGGGAGGGCAGTACATTAGCTAACATGCCCCTCCACACGAAGAACGCTATTAGCGCCATTTCTCTTATTAGAAGTTTCGGAGGGGTCAAATCAGACGAGAACAGCACCCTCATGTATGACGAGTCATCTGTGGGGAACGTAAATTACCAACTGGACAAAAATGACCAGAGGGAACTACGAAAGTTGCTAAAATTGAGGAAAAAGCAGAAGGCAGAGACCAATGAATATTTGAACAGCCTATACAGTAGTGACTCCAGCAAGAGTGACAACAGCAACTTAAGTGAACATGGAATGCATCATGACTTGCCAGGGGAGCAACAGGGCAATGACAATAACGACGATGAAAAAAATTTATACTTGGACGCTTTTATGAATTTATATATTAACTGCACACAAGGAATGGTTAGCAGTTTACCATCTTTGAGCGAGTTACACGATTTGCACCCGCTGAAGCAATTAAATGAAAAAATTAGAAGCAAGCGGATGGAGGGAAACCTTAACAATATTGTCCTACCCATGTTGAAAGATACAAAGATAAATGATATGAACAGTGTAGATATGAGCGTGAGCGCAATGGAACAAGCAAAGGATCTACTGGAGGAGAATGAAGTAGAAAACCACTTTAATATAAAACAAAGTGAGCAGTTGGAAGGGGATGACCGCATTACAATAAAAAAGGAACAAACCAAAAAGGGAAAACTAGCAAGTCTTCCCAACATTGAAAGTATTCATAAGGACACATATAATGACATAGCTTACAATATAAATGTCGTTACAGACGTCGCCAAAAGTCTAATGCATTCATCTAATTATGATCCAATATATGTAAAGCTTTTTTACTCTTATCTTTTACCTGTCATTTCTTTTGAAAAAAGAGTTGACTTGTTTTTAACTTATTCGTACACAAGCTACAAAATTATGAAGCCATTAGTTTTTATTATTTTTTATAATAATCATACGTCGACGTATATTCTTAATACAGTCAAACATGTTTTTAAACAGGATAAGTTGCTTTTTCAAAAATATAAAAGTTCATATTTTAATGGACTTTCCTTGAGAGACATTCCGAAGAGCCATTTTATCTTTTTGTTGTTCCTCTCCGTTTTTTTCTACGACCAAAAGGCGGAGTCCCTCCTCTACATGTTCAAACTGTTTTGCAAGTAAGAAAGGAGCACAAGCACCTACGCAGGGGGGGGTACCGAAGTTCCCACGTCCCAGCGTTTACAGCGTTTACAGCGTTTACACCGTTTGGGGTGTTCCGGTGTGCCTTCCAATTGGCGGGCGCCTCTCCTTCCCATTCGGCGAAGTGTGTCCATTTGGCCCCTTTTTTTTTTGTAAACACTTTTTTTCCCAAAAACACCTCCTCACCCCGCAGCTATGACCAAGACGTAATCAGCGACCAGGAGCGAGACATAAACTACAAAAATATACACCAAGACGTGCTGCTTGAAAATGACACAAAATACACGGAGCACAAGAAAAATATAAATATAATAATTATAAAGTTTATTGAAATATATAAAGAGAAATTTGGGACCCACCTTTGCGACTACTTTGATTTCTACAGGATATTTTTTATACTCTTTGCTTCGTGTGTTGCAATGGAGTAGTGTGCTGTTGGTGGTGGCTTGGAAGGATGTTTCGGCTCTGTAGCTCCCCTCTCCCCCCTGTGTGTGGCCTCCACCATTTTGCTGTCGAAGGTGGCGTAGAACTGAGAGGAAACTGGGGACACCAAAAGGTGTCCCCTAAATCCCCCCAAATTTTTTTTTCACAGTGTTGGTCTCCATTTGAGGCATTTACCACTCCTTTTGTCTTTATTCGTTTTCTTCTTTTTTCAATCACCCACAACATATTATTAATCCCAATTTGGCATACATGTAAACAAAATTGTAAAGTGTAATGTTGCACAATGCAATTCGAATGGTATCGCGTTAAAATGGTGCGTAAGTACCAGTTCGTTTCTTCAAAAAATAGCGTACAGCGTTTTTTCGAATAATACTTGCGAATTACGTTCGCTACGCAATGTATGAGGACAAATTACAAAGTGGAGGAAAGCACGAAAATTACTTTTTTTTTAAATAAGTTGTGTGCTCGTGAACTGTTTTCCTTTTGATCGCTCCGTTGCAGTTCTTGCATGTGCACTTGCTCGAAGCAGTAGCAAATTGGAATATCTGATGAGGCTAGCATACAAGCTTTACAGTAAGCAGAATGATGAGGCGGATGCATACTGTATTTAATTTAATGGAGGAAGTTCCCTTTTTTTTTATACCATCCTATCCTTGCTTAAAAATAGGCCACCAATATTTGTGTGTGTGTGTACTGTTAAATTAGGAGCCAATATGCTCCAGTCCAGTCGATGCACATGCAATGCGCTTCAATTTTTTTGGACAATTGAAATTGCTTCATCGCGGTTTTATAACGCTCATAACGAAGACGCAGTTTAGGCGGCAATGTACTTTCCCTAAACAGTTGCAACGCGTGTGTGCACATGGGAGGGAAATATTGCTGACCTTTTTGCGGTCACTTTTGTGTGCATATATTAAGGCCTGCTTGTGTACAATTTTGTGGGCACCTTAACATGCCGTGGAAAAATACACACACACGTAGGCGTGCCCAAGCAATAACCATCATTACAACACTTGGGGGAGTAATGTTTTTTTTCCCCAATTTATACCCATACGCATAAGGGTGGAAAGCAGGCAAGTATATGGAGGGAAAATTTGCCCACCAAGTTGCAGTACGCTTGCCTTGCATTTGTATCCCCATATCGTGTTTGAACTTTTTAGCATTTTTATTTAAGCCCATGCGGAAATAAAAATAAATATCCCAGGGAAGGGCATGCTCACGCTCATGGGAAAATGAGAACAAAAGGCGGGACAGCCAAAAAATGGACAATCACGATCGCATCCAAGTGAAAAGCAATCCAAATTGCTGTCTTTTGGGAAGTAGAAAATCAAGCGTGTGGCACTTCAGCATATTGTGTGTCTCACCATGCAAGCGCTGAATGAAAATTACACACAATTTTAAGGCACACACGGAAAAAAAATAAAATAATAAATCCTAAGAAAAGACTGCCACTTGTCCTTTCCCATGCGCTTGAGCGTAATTAACATTCTTAAGGCTAAACTGCGAGTAGAATTTCCACCCTACTTCCTAAATGCTTGCACGGATTTTATTACTTCCAACATAAAGAAAAAAATGGGGGGGAAAAAAAAATAATAAGAAATAACCAAAAAGTACTATAAAATAATTGCACACATTTTTTTTTTTTTTTTCCAATGCTAACTAAAAAAAAAAAAAAAAAAAAAAAAAAATATGAATTACAAATTTTCTTATTACACACAAATAGGAATATTGAATGGAAATTTAACATGGCTATTTGTTTTTTTTTTTTTTTTACTTCCCATTTGTCACTTAGGAAAATAACACGAAAATAAAAAGAGGAAAAAGCAAAGGATTAAGAAAAATATATATATTTAAAAAATACACTCCTTCGTTATGTCCTCTTTGTGAAATATGCTTAAAATGCATTACATAACATGATATGTAAATTTGCGTTCTATCTGTAGTTATATTTTCCATGGTGTGTTAAATTAAGATCATAAAGTGTATACTGTCATAAGTAACTATGCTCATTTATTCTCCATTATTTAACTTTATGCTTATAATTAAAACATATTTCTATTGTAAAACGGAATATTGAGCAGCGTGTGTTTATCCTTTATATGTTACACTTTTTTTCTTTTTTCTTGTTTTTTCTTGGGATACAATTTTCCGTGGAAAATTTTCCATACATATGAACGGGAAAAAAAAAAAAAAAAAAAAAAAAAAAATACGTATGCAAAGGCATATATGCATAAATATACCTTTATACATACACCTATTCGCTACAATTTGCGCATAATTCAAAGCAAAATCCAAACCGTTGTTTCTACACCAATTATACATTTCGAAAGAAATACCCAAACAGAAAAATGGGAAATATTGTATCCTGTTGTTCCCTAGACGAAAATAAAAAATACTTGAATGATGACGAAATATTGGAAAGTAATCATACGTAGAATTAAATCCCCTTCCGGGAAAAATCACTCGCCTCCACACAGTGTTACATGAGCAGTTTGGAGCACTCGAATGTGTGCGCAGTGAGTACGCATGTTTCCGACATGTGTGTATGTATACATGTATACATATGTATTTTCCCCTGTCCTGTCTTACTCATACGTGCATTACACGCGTCATGCCTTTTTTGTGTCCCCACTCTCCCCTATGTGTAGCCTTTTCCAACGGTGAGATAAACGAGTTTAAAAAGCGATTAAAGAACAACATCCAAATAATTGTCTTGCTACAGGTGAATAAATTTTGTTCTGCATTTGGAGGCGTCAAAAAAGGATGGGAGCCTGTTAAGTGTTTATCTGTTTGTGCTCTTGTCCATTTTACGAACTTTTTCTGTGCACTCATTTTTTTTTTTCTCCACAGGATGGCACAAAATTACCGTGTAACTTACAAGCCAATTTCAACGAAAAGACCCTGTGCATATCTTGCCATCAGAAGGTAACTAATTCAGCTCATTTTTTTTTTTCACAGTTGTCATATGACGACAATGACGAGAGTGCGTGCATACGAAAATGAACGTGATGGGGAGAGATCTGGATGCTAACGCCGGTCACTTCGCCACCGTCACACCACCCCTGTTATTGTAACCCTATTCCCAGGTGAGGATGATCAACTTCAGCGACATTCGATCTTTGCTGTACGGAGAAGAGCAGCTGAAGCGCGTGGAAACTCAAGCAAATTTGATCAACGACAACTGCTGCTTAGCTTTGCACTTAGACGACAGTGGAAACTGTATCCCCATAAAATTTGGAACATTGAAGGAAAAAAATCTGTTCATTTTTATTATGAGGGATTACAAGAAAATTTCCTGATTTCACTGATGAAGGCTTTTAAAAACAGTTTCTTTTTGGTTTCTTTCCTTTTTGCAAAATGATAACAAGTGCTTTATGCTTGCGTACTCTGACCAATCCTTGACAGCCCTATTTACATTTAATGTTTTTACGCCTGATGTTTTTCGTTAGCCCCCATCCCTTGTAACTCTATTAATTCATCCCCTTCTTCTCACCCGACAGCCGCCCTTTCGGCGTGCCGCGGGGAAGTAGGCCAATTAGTGCTATTATGTGTGTGTAAAAAAAAAAAAACTTGTGCATAATTATATATGCATAACTATGTGTACGTGATTATATGTGTGCAGTCGTATATGCACGCAAATTCGTTCACGTGCCCTGTGCATGTGTGTGTGTGTATCTGTTAAAGAAGACATTCATTTACGCGTCCAGGTTCGATGATTTTTTCACAAGTGTTAGATCGTTTTCTTTAATTTCGGGGGAAGAGTTATCCTCTTCGCCGTTTCTTCTCCTGCACTTCCCCCACCCTTTATTCATTTCGTGTTTCTTACCGTCCCTTTATAGCTCCATAGCCGTTTTATCCCCTCGAAATATTTTTAAATAAAACTGATTTAAAATATTTTGATCAGTTTATTTTTTTGTTTCCCTCAACAAGATGAAAATATAAACTTGAGCCAATTATATTTTCAGATAATTAACCGACCATTTCTTTTTTTTTTTTTTTTTTTTTTTTTTTTTTTTTTTGCACACATGAATAATTAATGTTTAATATGGTAACAACTGTCTTTACAAAAAAAAAAAAAATTAAAACAAAATAATGTTGCGAAAAGAGTAGCGAATTATAGGAGAGACACAACTGATGTTGCAGAGATGTCGCAGTTGGGGAGAAACAGGCGTACTTTTGGAAGTAGCCAAAGTTGCAATAGCTGTTTTTCCCCAATTAGCTCGTTCTGCAACTCTCCACGACGGTAAAATAATTCCCTTCAGTACAGGAGCTCCACGCTGATGGTCAATTTGAGGGCCTTTTCATTGAAATAGGCTTTGATCTGCGCCAACGGGGGGGAGGCAAAGCAACGGAAAGAATATGATCATTTTTTTTTTTCATTTTGACAATTGCTATACTGTTCAAACTGAGCAGTTGTAGCGGTAAAAGAAAACACTTATGCACATGAGGGGGTCTACGATCCTCCCTGGAAAACGCTCAAAGCTCGCGTTGGCTGGGTCCTTACATTATCGCTTAAGTTTTGCTTGAAGCTCAAAGTCATGCAGTCATCGGGTCTGTAAAAAAGAGAATATGCACATGTGTGGATGTACATATATACACGTAACTTTTCGACGCAACAAGCATTTGTTGACATTACCTGCTAGACACATATATCTGAACGGTGTTGCCTTTTTTCAAAATTTCCAATTCTTCGTATGAAATGCTGTTAAAGGTGACGATGATATGGAGGTATCTGTTGGGGAAAAAGGGGAACACATATAGTTAACGTCATGCGGGGGAAAAGAGGTGTGTATGCGTGGGGGTAAACTTTTACAATTTAGCGCTCATTTTTCCTCTTTTGAACTGTGACCTGTCAATAATTGTGTAATGATACGACTTCACCTGCCTCGGGATGCGCCCCTGTTGACTGTCATCATTTTTTTCCCGTTTGGTGGTTCTGACCGACTGTATATCATTCAGTATGTTACTGGACGCCTCGTGTATTTTTATTTCGTTTTTCCCTTCCTTCTCCTTTGTATCATTACTCTTAAGCTGTTTTTGACTTAACATGTTATAAAATTTTATGTCACTTTCGTCCAACGATGTGGAGTCTTCTGTGTGTAATGTGCCATCTACACAATGCGGATTTAAAAAATGTTTCGTCTTAGGGACATATCCCAAATCGTTATATTTGAAGGAGTTGCCATTTATGCGTACATCACTCCTAAGCATTTGTTCTGACTCATTTAATATTGTTAATATTTTTTGAACAATTTTATTTTTAAAATATATATTGTGGAAATGCTTGTGGATGTCCGAGTGGATAACAGCTTCTGCGTACATGTCTCTGGAGCTTTCTCCTTTTATTTTACACGTACTAATAGGAATGTGGTCGTAATTTACTTCTTCCAGATTGGTAGGGAAATTCTTGGGGAGTGTGGGCGCTTTCATTTTGCTGCTGTGATATACATACACATAATAATCACACATTTTCTCTTTGTGTTCACTGGCCTTTGTCTTGATTGACACCTTTTCCATGTCCGTCACGATGCAGAAGCAGAACTTTGGTTTGATCGGCTTCTGCTGTTTTATGTTCCCCATGTGTTTGTCCATAAATTTGTCGTACGCCTAAAAAGAAGGGCAAAAAAGAAAACGAGGCATCACAGGTTTCTTACGTGTGGTGTATAATGACATGGTCAAAGGAAAAGATGCATCTGGTGCAGAGGATACACTTCCTGTTCCCCCTGCCTGTCATTATTTTGTAGTCCTTCCTCCTCACCTGCTTATCACTTTTGTGCAAATCGTTTAGGGCGTCCCAAATGCACTGCGCGCTTTTTAAATCCATTTTGACGAGGGTAATGTTGTGTAATGGGACACAGTAGAGTTACGCTTCACCAGTTCTGGTACCAAGAAAAGGGGGGGGGCGGGGGGATATTTTTTGTGCAAGATTTCCCTTCTGTTTCTCAAATTAATCACAGTCAAGACGAAGAGACTTAAAAGACATGATGTAAACGCACATGTGTTCCTTTTCACAAAAAGCACACATTGCATTTCGTGCCCCCCTGAGCGGTTGCAATTGTGATATAGCACAACAGCCGTGTCAATTATGCACCTTAGAAAAACGGGTGAAGAGAATTGTCTATATTGTTTGTCACATCGGGTGAGCTGGACACAAAATGTGCATCCGTTGCGCTTCTCAAATGGGCCTACATAAATGGCGCGTTTGATTCGTTCGGCAATATTATGTTAACCAAATTGTGTGTGCATGCCTCAGCTGCTACTAAATATTGCTTGGCGCCCTTTTCTCTAATTTGTGGTCACCCTATAGAGGTCAAATTAAATCCGATGCAACTCACGCGTCGCGCCTAAGCTGCAAACGTACAAAAAATCGATCGGGCAGAAAAAATATATAAGTACAATTGTTCGAAAGAGACAAATCGGTAAAGCGGAGAAGCGGAAATGCGATTTAGAAGTGCTCCACGAATTTCATCAATATGGACATAAGAAAGGAATAGTGTTTGTTTGTTTATTTATTTTTTTTTTTTTCCACGCCTTTTCTACACATACAGAGGGGGGAAGATTAAATGCATGCGGACAAAGCAAAACGATGCGCGTTGGGGGAATTCATCCCCATTTGAAAAAATGTGTCATGCCACGTGGCATGTTTGTATTACTACAGAGAGAGGAGAAAAACAAATTGAACGGGTCGCAGCAGGGGGCTGAAACGAAACCGATTCGAAGGAGAACCGACTGGAAGTTTAACCGCCAGTGGGCGCAAGATTAGCAAGATGAGAACCCAAGTTTCTTTACACGCTCCCTTACCCCCCAAAAGTGAATCACACCAAAACAGTGTCAGAAAAATTAATATGGCAACATGAGGGAGGAAAAAGGAAAAAAACAAATTAAAAAAAAAAAAAAAAACAAAGCTCTTTTTAAAGTTGGGAGAAGGCTAACATTTCTACACTCTCAAAAAGCAAGCTTTCTGCCAGCACGCAGAGCAGCCGCTTTTTTTTTTTTGTTGTTTGTTTTTTTCCAGATCCTTTTCTCCCTTCCTTATGTGTGGAGTTATGTTTCCCCTGTTCAGTAGGTGTATAAAAAAAAACTTCCTCTTCCTAACAAGTAAAAAATGCATAAACACAAATGTAAGGCTACGAAATCCTTATTACAGAAAAAAGGGTTTCTGGGAATGGAGGAGAAGAATTATTCATAGGTACAACGAAAGGAGATATATCAGGAAAGGCATAAGACCAAAGATACAAAAGAAAGATGAAGAAAATGTAAAAAATAGAAAGGACGATGTATATTGGACGTTTAAAGTATATCAGTTAAAAATAAGTTTGCGAAATTTATATAACTTTGCTAGACTCATTAAGGGGTTACACCTGGAGGATGCCATCGTCTATTTAGAAGCCATCCCACAAATAAGAGTAAATCACATTCTAAACTCTTTATTAAATTCGAAGGAAAAAATTGTAAACAAATTTAATGGAGATGTATCTCGTCTTTATATTGACAATGTGCAGATACACTACAACACACCCATGAAGTTTATCAAGTACCATGCGTTAGGGCATTTTGGGTTAGTGAAAAGTTACAGGAATACTTTTACCTATACTATTAAACAAATGAATTTAGAAGAATTTTACCACAAAATTTTTATCCGTGGAAATGTCCCTCGCACTCTGTCTCATAATATGAGGTTATATTTTCATCAGGATAGAATCAACATGGAAAATTTAATTCAATGGTATCCTTACATTTGTGCCAACTCCAGGTACTACTTCAGGGAAAAGTTACGTTACCTTAATAATACCTACCAGTTTGATTATTACAAATCTAGGCGCGCTTGGATAAAAAATTATTTTAGTAATGTGGAAAGAAGGACGATGGAGTTGAAGATGCAGAGGGGGCTGCTCAACGATGGCTCTACCTCCTCAGTAGTATGATGAGAAGTCTCTAAAACAACATATGTACTGTTTATGACCCCTCGTTTTGTCATGCCTTCGCTTGGTGTTACTGTGCATATTCGACGGCCTACCATCTTACACACGCACACAAAAACGCACCCGTGTCGATTTACCGCTTATAATTAAAAGTGGATATATTTTTTTTTTGTTTGTTTGTCTTGTTGAAAGTTAAACACAAAAAAAAAAAAAAGCAGCAGCAGGGGTGTAAAGGATAAACACAGTCCAGCACCCCTGGGGACTAACTTCCGCGCCAATGCCGCAGAATATTAAAAAAAATATCAGATAAAAAAAAAAAAAAATTAATAAACATGAGATGGAAAAAGGGAGCTTGTACAAAGCGGCTCATAGTTCATCAACATTAAATTTCTCGCCGCGTCCTTCGTCAAATGGGGTTATGATGACGCCCTGCGGATGGAACGAGGGAGGGAAAGTTTCATTCGCATGTAGTAGTTAGCGTGTAATCGAATGGGTGCATACGCGGGAGGTTACACACGCGGGAGGTTACAAGCACGGAACGTTACACACGGGGCTGATGAACCCCCACACACATGCAGTCTCGGCGCGTTCTCTTCGCCTTACCGATTTGGCCTTCCACTTCTGCTCACTGCGCGGGTAAGTATATCTCATAATGCATGCCTCCAGGTGGTACAAAATTGGGCAGTTGTGGCAATTGTATTGATTAAATCTACAACGGGGAGGGGGTAAGGAGAGAAAATGGAAAGAAAAATGCATCTCGTTGCGTAGGGAAGGAATCTGATAGAAATGTGGCAGGGCTACTCCAGTCTTATTCGCAAATTCAGTGCTGACGCCACCATGTGTGCAACAAAAAAAAAAAGCCGAATAGAAAAGGAACGCCCATGCGTGACTTGCTTCCTCCTCAGTGCATCATTATTACTCATAGCTTTTGCTAGTGGAGACATATCCATTGTGATCCACGCTCTTTAGGTAAATATTTTCGCCCACTGACCAGTAGGGATTGGCTTTTTTCTTTTCACAAATGACTTGAAATTTACCCAACTCTTTACTCTGATGAACACTTAGCTGTGGTGCGAAGAGGGCAAAAAAAAAAAGCGATGAATGAAATGAAGGTAGAATGGATGGTTCCCATTTGACATTTAACCTGACGAGGCAGTCACTCATGTGCTCATGTAGATACTTGCATACACACATTCATATAATGTCGCATGTACAGTTTTCTATGTAAACGCGTGAGCAACCCCCGTTTTCTCATCTCACTTCATAATTGTTAGAAAGTATCGAGTCGTGCGAGGAGCCCATCAAGTATCCGTTCGACTTGACATGCTTCAGCGTAATGATTTCGTCGCAGCTTATTTTGTTTCCTGTGAAGCTCTTCTCCTCTACGTTGAGGGGGAAATAGGAAGTGCAAAAATGAAAATAAAAAAAACGTTATATACGTATTGGTTCAGTGTAACATCTTCCCCCATCGCTACACATTCCAGGATGGCGCTTCTCTCTTTTATTAGTGGCCTCCTTTTCTTCTTCGCTTTGTACCATCATAAATGTTAACTGTCCACAAGAGGTTTTCCTCGTTCTTGTTAGTCGTTACTGCAGTCTTTGGGGGGGAAAAATAAGAGCAATGATGTGCGGGGGGCGGACAGTACGAGGTGGAGATATACAAGATTGTGTATGCATGCAACGGTATATGTGCTTGTACAGAGCATATCACTTTTACGACTTGACAGTGTGACAAGAGGAGGAAAGAACGCATCCATAAATGTAGACGCTCTGTCTCATAATCGTAAAAAGATTTCCTCCATAATACAAATCCATTCTGCTGCGAACATGTGGACATTTTTTAATTTCTCTTTCGGTGCATTACCACTAGTTGGTTTCCTGACCCAGTTCCCCATTTCATATCCGTGGAAAACAGTCTTTCAAAAAAAAAAAAAAAAAAATGAATAATGAAATGAGCGTTTCGACAGTAAAAACACACATGGGTGGGTAGAATGGAACTCAATGGGACACACAGCCAAATGGACAATGATCAAAAGGTGTGCCATCAGTCACTCTCTTCTCATGGAAAAAAAAGGACATGGTGTTTATTTATTAAATTTTTTTTTTTTTCTACGCCCTCCTTGGCTAGTTACTATTTGTTTTCATTACTTGTATGACGTTCCAACGTTTTCTAAAATGATAGAACTGCCATCTGTTACATAAAGACAACTATGCACTTTAAAAAATAAAAAAGAGAAAAAAAATACCCCAACAAAAAAGCGAAAATAATTCATCTTAATGTTGTTTGTCTACTAATTATGTGTTAATGCTGTGATAATTTTTTTTTTTTTTTCAAGTGTTAATTTATCAACGTTCTGTTAGCTACAATGTGTATATAAGGTGGGGTGGATATTCCCATATTCATACATATATATAATGGGCAGGCACATAACCGTACAAATTGATGCTACTATATGTGTAGCATACATGTGAAGCCTTTAAAGGTGCGAGGGGAACTAATGAATTGTGGAAAAGGATGGTATCTCTCTCACAGCACAAATGGCGTACAGGTTAAAATTGTAAAAAATGACAAAAATGGGAAAAATCATAAAAACCAAAAAACTACAAAAATGGAAAAAATAGAGCAAATATAGCAAAAACAAATAAACCCTTTTTTATGTAAACCATGTACAGGTAAAATTAAGAAAAAATTTCTCCAAATTTTAAGGTAAAATGTTCCATCAAGTGGCAAAAAAGTATGTATATATATATATATAAAAGAAAAAATAGCATTATATTTATAAATAATTCAAGCTGAGAATAGAATAATGGGGCGAAGAAAAAAAAAAAAAAAAAAAGGGACGGGTGGAAAAAGCAGTCCTCAATAAAAGCATACTTATGTATATACCCCCAATGCAAAAGCCATAAACCGTATATGTTATTTTGGCAATAATAATTTATGCACTTTTCATTTTCCCGCCCTTTTTTTTTTTTTTCCTGAGAGCTTGAGGCCCAAGCTGCCTCGAAATGCATTTCAAACAGGGGAAAAGTAAACGATTTGTGCGAAGTAGGCCTAAATAGCATCAACGTCACTTTTATTTAGCGCCTTGAGGTGAAGGTGCGCGAAAAACAGGGCCCTTAACAACCTTTGTGTATATTACTTTCACATCATGTCAATTGGAGGATTCACCCCTACGCGGACGCAGTTACTTTGATTTTTATTTTGGGGATGAGGATTTCTTCGCTTACGCGTTGTTGCAACGTTACGTTGTAATGCACGCCCTGGTGCCTATTTACCCTGAACACGTTAAGTATACAAATGCGAAAATGCATAAACGCACAAGTGTACAAGGTTCCAAGCAGCCCATGGACTACATATACCCAGTCCGTAGCCCCGTCTAAATCTGGCCACATGAGTTTCAAAACCTTTGAAGGGAACTATACCCACATAGCGGCCCCTAAAAGGTATTTACAAAATTTGGGCGCACATCCAATTGAGGAAGGCCACATTTTTTCTCTCCCTCTTTTTCCATTACCCACGTAGTGTTGGCGCGTGTTGAAGGTAACACGCCTTTTTCCCCGCAGTGCAAACAGTTGGCCTATTTGGGGGGAAACATATACATTTATATAAATAATATTAATACCCCGATGCATCTTATATATTGGCGCCCCCAATGCGCCCCCTTTTTTTGTACATCTCCGCCTGGTTATAAAAATCAACGAATGGGTTTCCTCCTATGGCCTTGCATACAGCGTATAAAAAAAAAACATACAAACAAGCATATATAATATAGTTACGAAAATTACCATACAATGCGTACCAAATTGCGCACGCACGGGTAGCGATAAAATATACTGCCAAGCTCATAGGGGGGAAAAACATTGCAAGTACGAATAATTAAATGGAAAAAATAATTTTTTTGTAACCTTCAAAGGGCATTTTTCTGGCGTGTACCCCATCCATTTCCGTTTTGCTGCAGCTACGGATGAAAAGAACGCTTCTATAAAAAGAAAAAAAATAATAATAATAAATAAAAAAACAAAACATATACTTTGTACATACATATATATGTATATATACATAGCATGCACGTACATACTTGCATAAAGCGATATGTTCCAGTTATATACCGTCGCACCAAGTTCTAAACTGCAGCATAGGATTTTCCAAACAGTCAAGCCCCCCCCTCACGCAAACGGAAGTAAACACTTGCACGTATGTACCCATGTGCGCTCGTGCATATTTTTGTAGCTTCCTATATGACCCCAAATTGACGGCGCTATATAAAACGGGCGTAGCCTTCTTTTGAAGAAGCAAGCACGTACCGACCGAATGGGAGATTAAAATATGTGATATCCACTCTCTGCGCTTTTTACAACTGTGCACATTCGTTTCGAAAGTAAAGAAAGATTGGCGGACGTTCGCTTAACGAAGAAGCTGTGAAGAAGCCTGCATTGTTTTCCACCTCGGTGCCGAAGTGGCCTTTTCAAAAATAGATACATGCACATATTTTGTGTTGGACGATTTTGAGAAGCGAAGAAAAAGGAGGAAAAAAAAAAAAAAAAAGAAGAAAACCGCGCAGAACAACTCCCACTTGTGTTTCAACGGACGTGTATATTTCCCAGGTGTATCGCTGTCCGCCAACCGCTTATCGTACAACGTACCCCCTTCCGCTGTGTCCCGCGCGTCTCCCCTCAGTTTTTCCGCATTTCCATTTTAGCATTCTGTTATCACCTACTGTTGCCCTCCCGAACGCACCATGGAGGACAAAATGGAAGACGCAGGGGCCGTTTTCGTCGACTTGGACAAAGTGCACGACGAAGAAACGAAGCAGCTTTTCGATTTTGGTGAGAAGAAAAAAAAAAAAAAAAAAAAAAGAAGTCACAGAAAAGATTGAAGAAGTAATCATTGACGGAACAGGGAAGGTATTTGAAAGAGGAGCAGTGTACCCATACGATGAACTCTTACATAGAATACAAGATTTAGTAAATAAGCACAATATAGATTTGTGTATATCGAAAAAGTATACCATTAAACCACCACAAGTTGTTAGGGTTGGTTCTAAAAAGGTCGCATGGATTAACTTTAAAGATATATGTACTATTATGAACAGAAATGAAGAACACGTTTTTCATTTTGTATTAGCCGAATTGGGAACGGAGGGGTCCATAGCAGGAGAGGGACAGTTAGTTTTAAAAGGAAAGTATGGACCGAAACATATCGAAGCCTTGTTAAGAAAATATATTACTGAATATGTCACGTGTCAAATGTGCAAAAGTCCAAATACAACCATGGAGAAGGATAGCAGAACTCGACTTTTCCACCAGCATTGTAATGCTTGCGGGGCTAAGAGGTTAGTTTTTTCTTTCTTTCCATTGCACTATTATGTGACAGCTAGCCAGTTTGTAATGATATTGCCCATTGGCATGTTTTTTACGCCCCCGTTTTACACATTTATTACTCCCCATTTGTATCCTTTCACAGATCTGTCACCACCATTAAGAGTGGTTTCCACGCCCTGGGAAGAGGTGAAAGAAGAAAGGCAAAGCATACCAATTGAGGTCATCAAACAGATGGCATACAGAAAACAGTTAGGTTCGCTCAGAAGGATACCAGTAGCCCCAATTTTTAGTACTTGCCTCTCATGAGCGACATTAGGAAAGAAGAACAGATTTTAAAATGATTTTGCAAATTCGTGGGTCCCATGTATTATGCCCTTTTTACATGACGCTGCGTGTACGTAGACCCCCATGTGAAGATCCATTTTTTGTTAAACTTTTCACGCAAGGCAGCCATGGTGTGAATTCTCAATGAGCACAACCGATTTAGAATAAGAATGGTGCATGCAAAAGTGAAAAAGGAATTGTTTTGTCAGGCAATAAATAACGCGTCGCCGTGAGGAGACAGACGGGGGAGAAGAACAGACTAACCTATGTGACGTTCCATTGCACAGCATGCAAAAAATATCTGTTTATACGCATGTGTATATATGTACTCACATGCAAATATGATTTGCAGGTGATCATCTACGTGGTGATTCAATTCGTTAAGTACCTTATCCTATGGGTAGTGCTGTGCGAAAAGGCCGCATCATAGCTTGTGGTGTACCTTTTTGAGCAAATGTGCACCGTTGCAGGTGCAGCTTCCTCTGAGACTTCACCCCTCTGTGAAAACCAGTCCCTCCTTGATGGTGCTTGTAAATTTAGCAAAAGTAACACTCATGCTCCTTGCTCCCCGTCCCTTTCGCTTTTTAGTTCAACGTGGCTATATGTATATATATGTATGTATTTATTTCTTCATATTTATGTAGCCGCTCCAACGTGGCAAGCGTGCGCACATGTCATACATACGTGGGCATGCATGAGCGCCCAGCAGTTAAAAAAAAACGAGTAAAAAAAAAAAAAAAAAAAAAAAAAAAAATTCCCAATTTTTTTTTGAAAAAAAACGAGTAAAAAAAAAAAAAAAAAAAAAAAAAAAAAAAAAAAAGCTAATGCAGCAGATGTTCGCACGTGTACATATGTACATGCCCCATATGTACGCAGGCGTCCATGTGTGTATGCGTAGCTCATGCAAACATAATTTTTATCGCAAAAACATTTCCCCTTTTTTAAATTAACAACCTCAACGTTATCACTAATGTATATTTTTGTTTCAATAGTATCTGTTTATGTGTATTACCTGCGCAAGGCGCACACATACACATGTAAGTAAATATGTACATATAGGTATATATATACATATATGCGCAGGATCGTATCCCTCCAATTAAGTACACCCTGCACATCAGCTCAATTAAACGCATCATTTCAAATTGTGATGAACGGGGTCCTCTTACTAACACTTGTTATATGGGAAGCTTCATGAAGCTTTCGCGTCTTCGTCTTTGGGGGGCGAATCCCCATTCAGAACTTTCTTCGAATCGTTAACTATTATCTCGTTACCTGATTTAGCAGAAATGGAGAGACGATAAAGTGGGGGGGGAAGAAAAGTGGTCATATTAAGGAAAACGCTATGGAGAGTAGCGAATGTGTGAACAGCCGATATCCTGTTAGTCCCTTTTTTGAGTTCTTTTTTTTCTTTTTTTTTTTTTTTGCTGATGGTATGTTACTCTTGTAGAGTATGTAGGAGGAGAGCTTCGTCTTTCCACTAAAGTCAGCGTAGTCGTACACACTGGCATTGTTCTTCGAAGGGAAGAAAATTTGGTTGATGTTAAGGATAAAATGAGCAAGCATGGGTAATCTACGTGACTGGTTATAATTTTTTGGTAAACGCGTTGCACATATTTTAAAATGATGAGTCAGGCAATTTCAAATTTACGTGGTCTTTGATTTGAACATCGGCTCCGTTTTCTATCAGCAGTTTGACGATCTGAAGCATCAGTTCGAGGGTTAGGGGTAGTAAGTTTTTTACATGTGAGGCAGAGGTGCAAAGGAAGGCTTATAAAGGTTTATGTTATGCATGTCAACAGGTGCTTATATGCCCATATATACAGTTATGAGGGGGGCAGCAATGGTTGAAAGTGTTTGAAGTGTTAGAAGCGTTGTGTCAAAACATTACGTCGTAGTGCTTGTTTATTATGGCGTAAAAGATGGGGCTCTGTCCCTCCTGCAGTGGGTGAAAGTGGCATTTTGGGGTGGGTTTTTGTTAGCTATTTTCGTATGGAAAGTGTCTCATTCACATGCGCGGTATTGGATGTATGAAAAAATGCACCAAACTGGTAAACGCTTGGCGAGAATCCCTTCTTATATCGTAAGGGGCCTTCTTTCCTGCTCCACGCTTTCGTTCGTACATTGTCTGTTATGTCCACGTTGGCATTATTTTCGATGAGGAATTTAGCAATGTTTAGGTGGCCATATTTGACGCTAATATGAAGAGGAGATATCCCGTTGGCATCCTTATGATTTATGTTACTTCCCTTTTTCAAAATTATCCTAGCCATCTTTAGGCTTCCATTCCGGCAACTGTACCAGAAGGCTGTTCTGTTATGCTGTCTCGGCACACACATAAAAAAAAGGTTGGGGTAAATGGGGTGAAGCTTCATTTGGAGATTGTAATAATTATTTTTGGCGTGCAACAAAAAAGGATGATTACCCCCTTTTGTATGTTGTAACATTTGGAGCATGATCACACTGCAAATATGAATTTCCCAATCGTGTTAGAGAGTACACATTGTCATACTCCCGTAGGTTCATATGCCTGGCCTCATTTAAACTCGCGTGAAACATGTATTAATTCCATTTTACCGGAGGCTGGACGTAATCCCCCAGAGGAATTTGCATCTTAGACAAGGAAACGACATCTTCGTAAATTCCTATTAAAAAATGTCGTTAAATGTGGTTAAAGGTGGCAAAGTGGTGGAGCGTCATCGCGACCGGGTCGCCCAAGTGGTGGGTTAGCAATTTCTCAACAAAAAAAAACGCAATTTCATAGCCCAGAATATAACAATATAACAGAGGGTTCACAACAAAATCAACGAAAATAGGACACTAACCTTTCCTGGCTGCTACGAGCAATTTTACTCTCTCTTCCTGGGGAAAACATGTAGTCGTATAGAAAGCGTTACTTTTTTTTTTTTTGAACCGTGTATGTAGCATGGAAATGTGTGTAGGCGTCTATTCGCTTATGCAGAGCTTATCTTGTCCATGCTGTTCGTTTTTAACCGTTGCCATGGCTTCCGCGTAATGGGAACGCGAACGACATAAGGGGGGCAATTCCAAAGGGTGCTTCTGTTCGTTACGTTACTTCAATATTCTTGACATAGGACTTTCAATGGGATTTTTTTTTTTTTTTTCTTAAATTCGCACGACATTTTTTTTTTGCGCCATTTTTCAAGTCTCTCTTTCCTGTAGACGCCAATAATTTTAGCCACAATATCCTTCCCCAATTTATGCTCCTCCCTTTGCGAAAATTAATTTATCGGTTTCTTCCCCTTTTTATGTGCACAATATAAAGGGAGGAGTTCGCAAATATGTTTGTTCACCAATCTGTGTGTGCATGTTGAAGCGAATTAAACTTCTTCTCAACACATTCGTACATATGTGCGGAAGTCCATCCTTTTTCATTCATTCGTTCATTCACCCGTAACTACAAAATGGGACGAACAAAGGACATGAAGAAGTCCTTAAAATTGGTGAAAGACAATGGAGAGTCCTCAAACACGCTAGGGGACTACACGGGCGTGGGAACTGTGACATTTTATCTTAACAAAAAAGGGAAAACAACGGAGAAGTATTACGGAAATATCTTCCAAGGAAAAAAACACGGATATGGTTGGACATATTTTATCCCATTGTTAAGAAACATCGTTTTTTTTTTTGTTTTTTTATATTTTCTGAACGCGCTTATGGGCCACTTCACTTTTGGCTCCATTTCCACATAAGCGTAGATCTCATTAGGTGTCTCCTTTTTTTTCCCCCCCCCCTTCCCAATAGGTGAGTATAACTACCAGAATGGAGATTTTTACCAAGGGCTGTATGAGCACGGCAAGAAGAACGGTATCGGCACTTATTTTTACAACATGAACGACAGGCAGGAAAGAGGCATATGGAGAGGGGGGAAGGGAACAGACCATGAGAGTAGTGAGGAGGAGGACAGCAGCGACGATGAGAAGAGGGACGAAGAGAACAGCGATGATGAAAAGGAAAACGACGAACAGGACGATGAGCAAAATGAGAAAAATGGAAAAGACGCGGATAGTGAGAAGGACACAAGTGAGGAGGAAGGTGAAAATGACCAAAATGGAAGCGATCAAAGTGGAGACTCCACAAGTGGAGCAGACAAAAGCGAAGGTGACGCTGAACAGAGCGACCGGAATGAACAAGACAAGGAGAAGAGCGCAAATATGGATGGCTATCAAAATACTAAGAAGGGGAATAAAGCAGCTGATAATGAAAAAAAAGCCTCTAAAAAGTTGCTACATCTTATGCAAAAATGGAAAGACACAAAAATGAAACAAGAAACGATTATCCCCACAAAAGGTAATTACACAAATAAGTTAGCGCTATACCTCCCGGGGTGGTGTCCTCTCAATTATTCGTGTGTTTGGTCATGGCCCGTTCTAGAGTTTCACCATTTTGTACATTTTCTTGCATAGACGTGCGCATGTTTTTGTATATACACCTGCAGAGAACGGGAGCTTCTACTATGGGCACTACGCCAACGGCCTCAAGCACAACGAGGGAATGATGTTGTACAGAAACGGGGACGTGTATGTAGGCGGCTGGAAGTTTGGGAAGAAGAACGGATGGGGTTATAATAAGACAAGAGCGTATGCAGTGTACGCGTATTTTACCTACTCATGTAATGTACATAAGCGAAGTGACCATTCGTTCGGAATACGTCAATGTCCATCACAAACAACCCCTTCCCCCCTCGCAGGAAGATACACGTACAAAAAGTGCAAAAGCGTTCTGGAAGGACATTGGGAAGACGGATATTTAACGCAAGGGAAATGGATCCTACCAAATGGTTTGTTACATTATTTTATTTTATTTTTTTTTTTAATGACAACGTTTTGCTGATGGATCGATCAGCTGTGGTGGAGATATAAAGCTGCGCGTTGAACATATACCCCCTATTGTAAAAGAATCCCACTTTGTGGACCCCTCTGACCCCCCCACACACACGTGCACTTTTTTTCATCCTGCCTGCTCCCCCCCTTTAGGAATGTACTTTGTGGGAAACTTTAAGAATAATAAGCCTTCCGGAGATGGCGTCTGGGCATTTGCGGACCGAACACAATTAAATGTTTTTTATTATGAAGTTAAACAAGTAAATATGAGAGAATATGAAAATGAGATATGAAAAATGAGGATGAGTAAAAAAAAAAAAAAACAAAAAAGTTCATATATAAGTTATACAAAAATAATTAACAAATTGCATATTATATTCATTTGGATGGGAGTATCAAATATGGTCACATATTTATTTACATTTTGCCTATGCATAAAACAATACACATGGGCAATATATATAAATAATATGGATGTTTCAAAAAAAAAAAAAAAAAAAAAAAAAAAATACTGACACATCAAAAAAAAACTCGTCCATATAATATACATACATGAAGTGTATAATTCATAAACAAAACATTTAATCACAGAAATTTAAAACAAGTCCGAAAAAGGAAGTTGAACAAGGAGCTCCGGATATTTTATTGAATTATAAGCCACTGTATATTACATCGACCAGGTGAGACATTTTCAAATAGCGCAGGACCAAATTGGGCTTTCATTTATTTCTTTTTGCTTCCCACTGAAAAGGTAAAAAAAAAAAAAAAAAAGTGCAGGCGCAATTATGTGTATGAGCAGATAACACAGTGTGAAAAAGCCACGCTCAAATGGAGCGCAGACACAGAGCATGCACTGCGATACAACGCAAAAGCAATGCGTTGCAAAAGGGATGAAAGTATAATTTGTCCGCAACAGTACATCCATCATCAGTCATGTCATCTTACTTTTAATTTCCAAGGGGGAGCTTCTATTTTTCTTATTTTTGCAATACTCGAAGTATATCCTGTAAAAATTTTTAAGGGTGAGGGACAGGCGCAGTGTGAATTTGTGTTCCAGAGGAGGCAGAAGGTACAGACATAAGTATATGTGTGCGAACATATAGAGGTACGCATGTTTGGGGGGGATACTTCACGGCAGCTATTTATGCGCCGCGCGTAATGATTATATGTGGCATATGTGAATGTGTATACATGCGCACATGGGTCCTATATTCACATGAGTACACGCACGCACGTGTCTATATATGCAGAGACGCGCTTTTTTTTTTTGTCCTGCATACAACTCTAATCGCTCATGCGTTCTCCCCTTACCAGTTAATACTGATTCCGAACCCTACAAGACATACTAAAAATCCGTAGTACATGTAGAGCAATTTTTTGTCCTTCTTCCTTGCATTTTTTATGTCAAAGGAGTATATATAATTCAAAACTGTGACGAATATTGCAATTATTGAAAGGTTAACTATTTTAAAATATTTGTCAACACCGCTTCCAAAAAATTTCCCAAAGAGGGATTTGCAACCCTCGATTATGTTCCAGTCAAATCCTCTTTTCTTTTTCCCAAAGTTTAACTTGAGTTTCATTTTGTCTTGGACTTGTTTTTCTAGGGGGGGGGGGGGGGGATTTTTTTTTTAAATGTTGCTATTTGTTGGGTAAAGGGACTTATATAATAGCGCGTGAGCGCAGCGCCTCCGGCTTTGCGTATGTACTGGGTCTGCTATATATATATATGTATATGCTTAGCAGCTACACGTTTTGCGTTTGCGCAACTGCTATTACCGTTAAACTAAATGGTATGCGTATAATTTCTCACGTGAGGTTGGAAGTATCCCCACACAAGTTGGCTTCTAATGGTACTGATGTTCGAGTATAGTGCTGACTGGATTTGCAGTGTTCTTCAATGTCTGCAACTTGAACAACTTTTGCAACAATTTTTGCAACTTTTGAAATTTTTGCAATTCTTGCGTAATCTTTTTTTTGTTACTTTTTGGATATACCTAAAAAAAGTTATTTAAACGCAATTCAGATGAAATAATCTTATTTTGCGATGTATGTCTACGTAAATATATTTTTTTATAATATTCTTTTTATATTTTTTTTTTTTAATGTAGTTAGTTTTTGCAAAAACAAAAAAAATATTTTTTTTTTTTTTTTTTTTTTTTTTTTTTAATGTAGTTATTTTTTTTAAAAAAAAAAAAAAATTTTTTTTTTTTTTTTTTTTTTTTTTTCTTAAAAGCTACTTTTATTTTTTTTGATATATGTTTGCTTACGCACGTATTGTTTTATGCGCATATAAAATATTTTTTTTATTTTTGCATGTAGATTTGTTCGTAAATATTTTTTAGGCATATAAAAATAATATATATTATTTTATAGCTTAAAAAAATATTGTATATTCATTATTTTTTTTTTTTTGTCATATTAAAAACAAGCGAAAGCGATATGCGTGATACGCATTCCATATAAGCATATGAGTTTACGACAACAAAGCTCATAAGGTCGGTAATGCATCCGTGCAATATATAATTCATGTAAATATATTTTTTTTTTTTTTGCGCAGCTAGAAAAATTTATATGGCGCGTAAAAGAACAAGATTTGGGTTGTCGGGGCTTAGAGTATTTTCTTTGCCCACAGATTACCATGTGTATGTTCTGGTGCAAAAACTTTTTTTTTTTGGGCTTACGTAGTTTTTTATTTCATATGTACATTGTAACAATGTCGTTTGTAGTAATTATTTTTTTGTACGCTTCAGCTTTAGGGCTAAATTGCATCCATCGCTGACTGTCAGAAAGAACCATACAGGAATGAATTTGTTCTCGCGCTAGCAGTTTTTTGTTCGTCTTTGCATATACTGCGCGACTGAGCGCAAAGCAGTAGCATGTACAGCGATATAGCAGGTATGCGTATTTATAAGCACAAATAAACAATGGCAACATTGCATCGTCCCATGGGTTGGTAGCTTGACATATAACGACAATATATAAAAGCGTTGTATGTCATATATATATATAATATATACTTGTGGTGGTGCAGACCCCACATATATATTTTATTTTATTATATATGTTTTTCCTACTATGTTTGATGATGCTACAAAGAACAAGAGAAGGGACACAGTTCGCGATGGTGTTTATGCCAAACGGTAATTTTCGTGCTATTTGTATTGCCAGAACGGTTGTTATGGCCATTTTGTTTTTGGTACAATATATACGTTTTTATTTTTATTGTTTCATTTTTTTTTTTTTTTAACTTTAATACCGGCACTATGTAACAGATTTAACCTGTACCGCGTTGTAAGGCCTGATCTCCATATGTTGTACGCATTGCCTCTGTTGCCATTTGATTTGTTCTGTTACGTTCAGGTTTAATTTTGTTCGCGACAGAACAATGTTGTGGCAGGGGGGGATTTTCTATGCATTTTTTTGGTTCTTATTCGACTCTTATTAATTTCGATTTTTTCTCTCTCACATGCGCGGGTATGTTTCTACAGATGAGCATTTTACTAGTCCCTCGCTAGCCCCCAAATCGCGCACGTGTTCTGTACATACATATATGTACATATATGTACATGTATTTATAACTCTCTGTATTTGGCAACACGTACGGTTCAGGTTTGTTCTATGTGGACCCCCTCTATTGGGCCATACCCCTAAATTTGGTTGCGAACAAATTGACACAACCAATGTAAATAAAACGGGATTGCAAATAATTATGTAATATAAAAACATACACCGTTCTTCCGTGCCTTTGTAACAAGGGTTTAGATTTTTTCTAGCCTTTATCATCTTTTTCTCGTGTTGGTTTTTTTTTATTATTCCTTATTAACCTCTCCCTAATCATTTGCTCATTTTATTGCTGCTTTTTTTTTTTTTTTTTTTTTCTTTTTCTTTTGTGACTATTAAGAATGAACATTTTCCGGGTCCATTAACTGCACAATACAACCGCGCGCATGTCCAGTTGGCCCATTATCATCCATGGTAGACAGGAAAAAAGAAAAAAAAAAGGAAGCAATGTGAACAGCTTCATTCTAATCATTTATTCGCCTACTGGTACAGTCACCATCTGTCATGACAATTCACACTGTGCATGCCGCTATATACATGTGCAATGTTACCCCCCTTATTCTATTTCTAATAAAAATTCACAAAAGGGCGAAAATTGAGGGGCACCACTGATAAAGCCTACACATATTATGTACTCGCACAGATAATATATTCTACAAAGCCATCGTGTAAATAGCTACACGTATGGGAAAGTACACATAAGAGTTTTTTTCTTTTTTTTAAATGTTTCCCCTTACGTTGTTTAGGGACCCCCATTGTTGGTATCCCTCCATGTGTTGTACTAAAAAAAAGGGGACAAGTTCTATAACATTAAAATGATCGCGCTGTTGATTTATATTCTGGTCCTGTCCGGTTGGGTCATGGTCTCAGGAACACAACCACTTTCTGTCTGTCTGCACCTCGATCTATTAAAATTAGTTAACAGACCGTTCCGTCAGAATAATGCTCTTCCTTCTGCTTAAACCTTTCGACGTTTCTTCCACCACAGGCATGCAGGAACAAACTGCCGGTGTGGTGATTCTTCAAAGCTCCTTTTAAGAAGTGCACAAAAAAAGGCAAGCGAGGAGAAAGCGATGTGGAAAGAAAAAAAAAATATATATATAATTGCATGGCATGAAGTTGAAGGGATTACAAACAGTGCATTGTGTCCATTCATTGTTCTGTATGTGCCAATTATTCAACAATTTGCTTGCACGTAAAAAGTTATAAATTTGTACCACCATAATGATAAAGAGGTAAAATGAAGCGCACTTGGTTTTTTTTTTTTTTTTTTTTAAATAATTTTAAAATGGTTCATAAAAATGTGCAATGGGAACACAAGGCCAAAATTAAAATAGCACATGTATAAATCTGTCCATAAGACCCATTGAGCAGATTGCACCTCCCCTCCAACCATGCCAATGAATCGGTTCTGTTGTAGAACCCCTTGGGGGGTCAGTACACGTTTAGCAGAGGTTGGGATGAACCATCTAAAAGGACACGTGGCGGAAATGAAAAAGTGTCAAACGGGTGAAAAGGAAGCATGGTTAAGGGGCAATAATTGCATAAATGGAAAATCGTTAAGAAACCATTTTTGATGAGGAATTGCCAGGGTAGATCAGCAACCCTCTAACACAACTATACACGTGTGTTCGCCTGAATGATGATCGATCATGAGACGAAGAGGAATGGAAGGAAAAGTCTTAGAATAGGTTTCGAATGTTACCGTCAATTCGTGTGTTCAGGGTTTAGCACATGACACATGGGCACATCCCAATTTTAGTTAAAAAAAAAAACACATCACAATTGGATGACATGTGCATAAGAAGGAAACATTGTTGTGAAAAAATAAGGGCCCAACCATAACCCACATGTCACATTTAAAAATTGTGATTCTGTAGAAAAACCCTACCCCCCTCCTTAACGTGAACGCATAAAAAAAAAATGGTAATTTATTTTTTTTTTTTTATTTCGGATCTCAAGTAACATTCCGGAAACGCTTCTTAATGCGTATGTATGGTATCTAAAAGAGTTGCGATGAAAATTTAAAAAAAACAAAAAAAAAAGAGTAAAAAAAATGATAAGAGGAAGATAACAAAAGAAGGAGGTAGTGTCGAAACCGATGCATTTCAACAGAAAGCATTCGGCGCAGGTTTCTTCTCCGTTAATGTTTTCATTATTTCCTACCCTCAACATTTTTTTTTTCACATTTATTTAAACAAAAAAAGGATTAATATAACCAAAAAAGGGGAGAAGAAAGTGGAATCTTGAAGGGGGCCAACGAAATGAGGAGTGACATGTTAAGCGAAGGGAAGAGAAGCTGTAGGGGGTGGGGTTGCAAATTATGTAGATGCACATGTTAGCGAAAGGTACAATCCGTTAACCGATACAATCCTCCAAGTAGTACCTCCTGTCGATAGGAGCACCCCCTAGCGTCCACGCCCAAATGTGTCGCATTCATCAGGCGCTGCCTTTTTCTCCAACCGCGCTTGAGGGCGAAGAGAACGCGTGTACAAGTACCACCCCCAGGGGCACTTTCCCCAGCGCATTAAAATGTGGGAAGAGTGGGACGATGAGCACTTTGTGAAAATTTTTTTTGACTGGAACATATTTGCCAAATATGCAAATGATAATGAATTTAAGGAGCTAGAAGAAGGGATAAAGAAAGAAATTAGTAATTCGAGGTGCTTGGACATAAATGAAGAAGACGTGGAGAATGAGACAAATGACAACATCCTATTGATACTACACTCGTTTATTGTAGAAAAAAAATACACAGACGTTTCAGATTACCTCGTTAATATAATTTTAAGGTGGAATTATTACACGAGCTTGAGGAGCGAAAAAGAGCTTGATTCTAATGGTGTAAAAAATCGCCTAAAAATAGATGTAGATATTTACACCCCGCCAGATGTGTACAAAAATTTTGAAGAATATTTTTATTCATATTTTCCATTATTCCTGATCGAAACACAACAATTATTAAACAATAAAAAGGAAAATGAAAATATAAAAGAGTATGACGTGACGCTGATTAACACCCCCAAGGAGATTTACAATTTTGAGTTCACCATCAACCTAGCTTATGACAGTGTGGTGTATGCAAACCTCTTCTATGGTGATCTTATTCTGCTTCGGTTTATTCCAAAAAAAACAGTAAAAAATGACTCACATAATATTTATACCCCTATTTTTTGTTCCGTAAAGAGAAATGAAGAAGAAGAAGAATTAATGTCTAGTGATTCGGAAAATGACAAACTGGACGGGGCTTCCTCTGACTCGTACACACATTCAGAAGGATCGCTCAATGGTGAGGAAGTGAAAGGAGAGCAGCTCGCCGAAAACACAAACAAAGTTCATGTCACCAAATCGGATGGGGAGCAAAACGAACTCAACGAGGACTCCAACTCGGCGACAGAAGAAATGAAAGACCACATAAATGACGAAACAAATGACGACATTTACATGATCAGAAAATATTGTGTACGTCATTTGTTAGGTTACGTGATTTCGAAAAATAAGGAACAAATTAAAGTCAGGTTTAATTTAAATTATAAAAATTTTGATGTCATTGACAGAGTCCGGAAAAATATCATTTACGAAATTTTTGTGGCTGACAAATTGGATCATTACTTTACTCGCGTGTCCAAGGTGATCAGTTTAATTTCGACCCTTCGGTTGTTTAACTGCTTTTTCAATTTTAGGAACTCTGCCTTGTTGAATGAAATTGTCGAATTTGACCCAAGTGGGGAAGGTCACCCTCATGCAGACAGCGTCGTCACTTGTAAGGAGGAAGTTGAGCAGGACGATGGTATGAGCGAGCAGGGGGAGGGCTTCACCCCTCTTCAGAAGAAGAAGAGGAAAAAAATGCACATAGATATTGGACACGTTGACGAGGTCATCTCACACCAAATACCAAATGGTGAACAGCAGGAAACACATTTTGGAGAAGTCACCCCAGATGAACCATTGAATGGGAATACAAATGAAGTAGACGATGTGGAGGAAACCCTTAGGAAAAAAATTAAGGACTATTTGATGAAGTTCAAATGGTCAGGCGGAATGGAAGACGTCGCTGTGAAAGGGGAGGAGTCATCTAATAATGAGGATCATAATGAAAAATCAAGCAGAACAGGTAGGATGACAAAAAATATCGAAGCGAATGTCAAAGGGGAGAACCCCTCGTTAGACCAACACACGGTTGTAACTAAGAAGGATAACAATTCAGGAAGAAGGGAACCATCCCTCCATGGGGATCAGCAGTATGGAGGCTTCCATTACATACCAGAGGCGCTAAAAAATAAATTCTTCAACATATACAATAACTACCAATTAAGGGCCATTAACAACAGCATCATGAATGACGGCATTACGCTCATTCAAGGGCCCCCCGGGACAGGGAAAACTACGACCATATTGGGAATTATCAGCGCGCTCATTTTTTTTCAAAAGGGTGAAATGAATTCTGTTAGGAAAAGCCCCCTAAGTGATGATTTGGTGTCGGCCCATGTGGAGGGAGAGGCGGGCGACGACAACGACGAAGAGCACGAAGATGGGGGAAAGAAGAAAAAAAAGAGCCCGTACGTTTGGATCAATTACGACAAAAAAAATGACCACTGCTACTTCAACGACAACTGCTTCGACGCCATGGAGTACGAAGACTTTTTTGACCATATTGAAAAAGACGAAGAAGAAAAAAACCAAAACGTCTTTCACGTCAGTAAAGGGAATAAGAATGAAAACAATTATGCGTATGCAATCCACCTAAGCATTATGAATGCGTCCAGCAGGATGTTAAAAAGTGATGAAAACTACGTGGAGGGGAATAATTCAGGCGAGGAGGACATTGTTAAAAATAATGAAAATAGAATCAAAAATTTAATTGCTTTAACAGAGTCGTATTATAACTCCTATGTGAATAATGATCATCTTGCAAAAAAGTCCGACTCGGTGGAGGAAAGGAATGCCAATGAGAAGTTGAACTATTCATACTATGTCAGTGATTCCAACTCGTACTCCTTTGCTGCCGGCACATCGGGTCAAGTATCACCCAAAGGAACGAAAAACGAATTAATGAGCAAAAGTTCGAACATCGTTCCCGTTAGAGAAAAAAGAAAGTGGAAAAGGAAGAACTCTGCAGAAGAGACACAACAAGCCACTTTCAAAAAAGAAAAGATAAACAAGCTAAACTTAATTAAGAACAAAAGGATACTGGTGTGTGCCCCATCTAACGCAGCCATTGATGAAATTTTGAAAAGGCTAATATCGTCAAGTTGTGGAATTTTAGACGAAAATGGAAACTTTTTTAATCCCATCGTGACCAGAATAGGGAGAAACGTAAGCACCGACATATTAGAATTTAGCCTCGAATTTAAAGAACAGTTATTTTTATATCTTAATAAGAAGGAAGAAAATAAAATTATAAAAAAGAATTTATTGAAGACATCTAGCATTATTTGTTCAACCCTTTCTGCCAGTTCAAATGCATCCCTAGTTAATTACATTGATTCGTTCGATGCCATTATAATTGATGAAGCATCTCAGTCGGTCGAATTGGACATTTTGATACCTCTTTCCTTTTCTTGCAAGAAAATTATTTTGGTAGGAGATCCAAAACAGCTGTCCGCGACTGTCTTTTCGTTATTTGCAAAGCGGCGCAAGTATGCCAGGTCCCTTTTCGAACGACTACAAAAGAAACATAGGATGAACAAGTACAAATATAATTTGTTGTCGATTCAGTATAGAATGCACCCAGACATTTCACACTTCCCAAATAAGTACTACTACAGAAATAAAATTACGGATGCCCCTTATTTTCTATTTACACTTTTTAAAGAAATGAAAATGAATAAGTACATCACAAAGTTGATGAGTGATCCAGGGGATCCACACACAGGAGCAATTATCCAACGGGACCTTTTTTACAAATTTGATTTACTTCACTTTATGCAAAGTAACTTTGGAAATTTATTGCCTTCGAATTTTCGCGACATAAATTTATGTCAGAAAAACCAAGGGGCGATTGACTGGTTTATTATCCCCTTACTTAGACATAGCGTTTTTTACGACATATCATTTTCGAAGCAAAGGAAAATAAAAAACTCTTACATCAACATTGAAGAAAGCGAAGCGGTCTTGCAATTTATTGAGTTCTTGCACTTCATCTTTACCGCAGAGAATGTGAAGGAATGGTACAAACGAATAGGTATCATTACTCCGTACGCCACGGAGAAGTTTTTTTTAAAAAAGGAGCTGAAAAGGTTCTTCACAAAAAAGGGTTACAAAAATAATATTTCTAATTTTATTGACATTGGAACTGTGGATGGTTTTCAGGGCACGGAAAAGGACATCATCATATTTGTGTGCGTACGGACCAAGGGTTCGCTCAAAAAGAAGAAGAAGAAAAAAAAAAAAAAAAAGGCCGACGCAGCTGGTAGTGATGCGATAGACCAGGAAGACAATGTGCACAACATAAGCTCTGCATCCTCTGCGGAGGATCATGTGGATGACGATGTGGACGATTCAAATATGTTTTTCTCAAATTACAAACGACTAAATGTGGCGCTAACCCGAGCCAAGTACAATCTATTCATTTTCGGAAACTGCAGCTTCTTGAAAAAGTGCGACGCTTGGGGTAAAATTATTAAGCACTACAAAATGGGAAACAAAGTAATAAAAATAAAGTACAAAAAATTTAAAAAGAGGATGAAAATTTTGTCTGACAAAGTGACCGAGGAAGACTTGTTCGATGAGAAGGTTCAGGTGATTAACAAAAAGATAGAAAATTCTTTGTATAACAAAAATATAATCGATTACAATTTCGTGCCAACTAGTGAGCATGAAAGTTGCCCCTTCGATTTGAAAAGTTTTCTTTACTCTGTTGGGCTGAGCCAGGCGGAAGAGGACGGAGATGGAAGCTGTGAAGGGCAAAATGAAATTAATATTAGTGAGAATAAATATGGACATGCGGACCCTTCGGCAAAGGCGGATAATAACTCTGAGGAGAGGGAAATCTTGAGCTTCTTCAAGCAGCTGTACAATGACGATTTTGGAATTGCAGACGAGTTTGACCTCGGGCGGGACCAGCTGGGGGGACCGCTAACGGAAACCCTAACCGAACAAACCAATTGCACAGATCAGTTGGTGAAGGTCTGCCCGGACGTGGGGAAAGCAACCCAGATCAGTGACCACACGAGCGCCCTGCCAAATGGTACAAACAGTGGCGTTAAAAAGGAACCCATAGAATTAATCGAAGTGATAGATGTTCAGGATGATGCGGGAAGTACGGAACGAATCAGTATAAACGGAAATAAGGAGGAAGGGGAAACATATAATAACAACCAGGAGGATTTACACCAAAGGGGCAGTTCTTCACTGCCATCCGCCGCGTCAAGAAAAGAAGCTTCGTATGTAGAGGTCCGCACGAGTGTGACCAAGAGAAGCGATGAAACAGCTTCGAACATGGATGAAGGGCATCCTGGCACCACCTCCACGATGATGGAAATAGGTGAAAATGTGAAGAACAGCAATTACTTCATCGATATGCTGTATAACTACTGCAAGGCGAACAAAGAGCTCATCCTCGTCGTGCAAAGTATTTTGCCCAATTTTTCTCAACAAATTTTGTTTAAGCAGTAGGTGTGTAACGAGTTGGAAGCTTCGGCACGCACGGGGTGTCTGTTTCATGCGTGTGCAACACGAATTGTAATATGCAGGTGCATGCTGCGTTCGTTGGGGCGGACGTAATTCCCCATGGCATGCCTGTCCATAACATTTGTATCACATTTGGAAAAAAAAAAAAAAACATCGCAGAGGTGCCGTTAATTGGCCAATAACTGACCGTTTGCGAATTACCTCCCCCCCACACATTTGTTTTTACCTTCTTTTTTGTTTACTCTTCCAAGGAGACTTTTTTGCAAATCCCTTGACATACTTCCCATTGCGGGAAATAAAGCAGCAGTCCAAATGAATGCCATTTTGTAAAGCGTCATGGTGACAATGGTCGCTGCAGCGGTGACGTTACGTCACCCGGTTTTAAAAAAAAAAAGAAATCTACATATTATATGCACACTATAGGCACATTATGTACATATATATGTGTGTAGTAAAATGCGTTGCGCAGCTTAGCTGATCGTGGTGGGGTTTGTGCGTCCAAGCTTGTCTTAACACGCCATGGTTGGTTGCGACAGCTGTGTGCGTTGGCCACAATGTCCTTACGAGCTAAAGCTCAAATGTCACAAAAAGGGGAAAAACGCCATGCGCTGTGTACTTCGCGCCTAGAAGAAGCAAAAAGACTCCTTTCAATAGTGCAGCAGGGGACACTACACAAGCGGTTACCCATTTGACGTACTTGAATATCGAATAGGTACACCTCACGCCGGGTTACGTGTACTATCGTCCAGTGGGCCGACACATATATAAACTAGCATAAAGGAGATAAAACAACAAAAAAAAAAACCACATTACAATAATGCTAGGCATATTTGGAGACAAAATTCGGCCCAAATTAGTACACTTACATATGTGTTGGCGCGCTTTCCCAGTTTGACCTCCCTAAAAGGGAAAATTGTTCTGAAACTCAAAGGGTTTGTTGTCCGCATTGGGCTCATTTCCAAAGGGCCCAATTGGGTCATAGCGCAAATTTTTCGGGTTAAAAAATTTATTGTCCGGGCCCACTAGCAATCCGTCTGGTTTTACAATGGGGACATTATTTCGAAGATCCGGAATTAAATTTCGTCCAATGTTTGGATTTTTATCATCAAAATGGTTGTCATTAAAATTTCGTAAGATGTATGGGTCAGGGTTGGTGTGGAAAATATTTTTAAAGTGCTCATTTGGGTTGGATTCTATGATGAGTCCCTTCGGCCCATTCCCCTTTCTACTACTGTTATCACTATGGATGTTGCTACTGTTCCCTTTATTCATGTGGCTTAATATATGTGTCTGGAATACCTGTTCCAATTTTTCCATTTGCAAGCTCTCCTTCATCTTATCCGTTGCATCTTCCTCCGCTGTGCACTTATTTACATATTCGTCCACGTCAATTGTGACTGAGTGAACTAGGGAAGGCTGTGCAGTGTTGATAATTTGCACAAGTAGCGAATTTTCTATTTTTACTAAATTCAAATTGTAGGTGTCATTGGTGTGTATAGATTGGTACAGAAAGTTGTAGCTACTTGAATTGCTTGTCCACTCAGGGTCAATTAATATTCGACTTAAAAAAAATTTTCCCTTTTCAGCATCAGTCACGTGTTTTATATACCCATTTGAAATTTTTATTTTTTCATGATTTTCTGATTTTTCATATTTTTCTTCGTCATTCAATTTGTATATAAAATTATTATCCAAAATGCAGCTGTGGAAGAACAGCACCAGCAGCTCCTCCTTCTTTATGTCCCCGTGCAGTTTTACGAGATTTTCAAAGGTACTGTGTTTTGCCATTCTGGTAACACCAAGTTGGGGCTATTTTGGGGGGAGCAATTTGGATCAGCCAAGTTCAACGTGTTAACGTGATGTCACAAAAAAAAGTGAGCAGCATGAACGTATACGCAGGGGCGCATATACACCACTGTGTGTCCATTAAACAGGCGCATCCAAACGGTTTGGACACAATAGAAGGACTTTTATGTTCTCTGAAGATTTTTGACAAAGTTCGCGGACGCCGCGTCGTCAAATCAGCCAAACGAAAAGAATTTTGTAAAAAGAATGTTACTATTATGTGCAGGAGATTATCGTACACACAGATATGCCCCTTTTTTTACACTTTTTTTTTCTGGAACGTATTAACACTTGCTTTTAAAAGGGGCAGCGCTTCTCCTCATTGGGTACATGTTTTTACGCTCATCATATGCGGTGAAATTTGTTGCCGTGAAAAAATTCTCCAATTCTGTATTAAACGAGTCACGCCTCACAATGGTTCATTAAAAAGGTACATTAAGCAAATTAACAAATTAAGGGGTAAGTAAAAAAAGGCAAAAAGGCGCGCCTACACAATTTGCTGTACCACTTGAACTTAATGGAGTGAACAGATTTGAAAAAAAAAAAAACGGTTAACATAAAAAAAACGTTCACACGACGTAACCGTTAGACTAGGCACAATTCTGCCATACATGTAAAATTATATTTTGTTTAAGTGCCTTTCCCTTAAGGTACGAGCAAAAATCGTGTGTCAAATGCTGTGTAGTAGTTGCACAAAACGGGGAATTTTAAATTTTAAAATTTTGGAGAACCTGTAGGAGGAGTTTTATTTACCTGTTTAATTGTTTTTTTTTTTTTTTCCCCCATTTTGACCCTGTGAAAAATGAATCCACTGTCCACATATGTTGCACAATTGAGGATTCCACTTTGACCCATTTTTTATTTGCCGCTTTGTGGAAGAGGTCGCACGTGGACGTAGATTGCATGGAGGAGAAAAACGGCCAGAAATAGAAGATCGACAAGCTGTTCACTTTTGTGTTTGTATCTCCTCCAACGCGCGAAACACTAAGGAGCCAACATTACTTTCACGCTTAGCAAAATATGTGTTCCAATGGAGTATACCAATTAAAAAAAATCCTCCTCAAGTACAGTGAAACGGGCCATAGCAGCAGGAATGTTCGATTTTTTTTAAGATTCATTTTACCAGATTATAGGGATGAAAACAAGCACTTAAATTTTGAAATACAGCATGAACAGTATGAAGAGCCAATGGCCATATTTGAATATATAAATAATAGCAGGTACGAAATATCCTTGAAAGACATTAAATCGAAACACATTGTTGATGTCATTAATTTGTATAAGGACAGTGCGGGGAATTCGGATTATTTGAAGCACGGGGGGCCCAAGGTGTATTCGAACAAGAGGAGCATCCAGGTATATATGCAGTCCATCGTGCAGGAGACAGGAGAACGGTTCAGTGCCAACATGTGAACGTGTGTGTGTGCGTGTGTCTATTTGTGCGTACATATGCGCGGGTATACGGCGAATGTGCTGTGGAAAGGCGCGTCTGTCCGTCGCCAACCGCCAGGCGTACGAGGATTACACCACCCCACCGCACTTTTAATTATGCTCATCCTTTGTACTTCCGTGTCTACACCCTACTCGCAGGGATTATGGTGCCCCAGCATATACAGTGAACTGAATGCCATCGCTTATTTAAAAAAGAAGAAAAAAAATAACATTAAGCTTCCAAAATATACGAGAGAAAGTCTAAACTTAAATCACGATGTGATTAAAGGCAACGGAAGATGGGGCAATGAGAATTTATTTCCAAAAGGTTTTGATCAGAGATATTTAAAGAACATTTTTTGCTACCCCTTCAAGGACAGTGCATCAAACACAGGCGCGCAAAATGAAGGGGCACACACAGCCAAAGCGCATATGAATTCTTTTTACAAATTTTACAGGAATTAGGGTATGCCCCGATTTACATAATACACGCACACGCGCATAGCATTCGGGTTTGTTGCGCCCAATGGTGCAGAATCACATGTTGCTGTGAAAGGGCAAATGTGTCAACCCAGATTTGGGTTTATATATCCCCCAATTGTGACAACCTTTTTTTTCTTTTTTTTTTTTTTT